GATGCTGATTCTGAAGATTATGATGATACTGCGTATGCGTACGCTGATGATGGCGATGCTGATGATGCTGATGCAGAGTATGATGATGCTGATGGTGATGATGAACCTGATGCTGATGATGAAGCTGGTGAGGATGATGGCGTCGATGAATCCTGATCATGATGACGATGATGATAACGATCATGATGGTGATGGTGATGATGATGATGATGATGTTGCTGCTGATGCTGATGATGATGATGATGATGATGATGATGCTGATGCTGATGCTGATGCTGATGCTGATAGGAGGAGGAGGAGGAGGAGGAGGAGGAGGAGGAGGAGGAGGAGGAGGGGGAACAGGAGATGAGGAGCATGGGGAAGAGAGGGAAGGAGGAGGCGGGCAGGCGGGATGAGCGAGGACGCCCTTCGTGTGTTCGGCCTCCTTCGGGCCTTCGTCCTGCATGGGACCCTCTCGTCACGACTGGGTTCGCCCTGGGGCAGGCCTGTGGCCGACTCGGGCCGACCCTTCGTGTCCAGGGCACCCTCCCCGCATGATGGGCCAGTATTCCACCACCACTACCATATGTGGGACGGGGGAGGAGGGAGGATCGGGATGTCCTCCTCCTCCTCCTCCTCTTCCTCCTCTTTCTCCTCCTCCTCCTGCTCCTCCTCCCTCTCCTACCTATGGTAGTGGTGGTGGGAGCAGGCGCCGTGACGGAGAGTCACGGCGCGCGGCCCTGCCAGTGGCCAGGCGCTTCGATGGGGCAGTTTCGCAGCTTCCGGGCAGCGGGGCCGGCTGTCCAAGAGCGGCCCGTGGCGGAGGAGGGGAGGCTGCGCGGCGATGGCTCCAAGAGGAGAAGGAGGACGACGAGGACCAGAGGACTAGGAGGAGAGGCAGGCGGAGGAGGAGGAGGAGGAGGAGGAGGAGGAGGAGGAGGAGGAGGAGGAGGAGGAGGAGGGGGTGGAGAGGGAGGCGGAGGAGGAGGAGGAGGAGGAGGAGGAGGAGGTGGTGGAGGAGGAGGAGGAGGAGGTGGAGGAGGCGGCTACAGGGTGAGGGGGATGGGGAGGGGGAGAAAGAGGAGGGGATAAAGGCAAGTAGCGAGATTAGCAGACGCACAGCAGGAGGGACGCCCCCCGTTGGTGGTCTGGCCCCCTCCCCCTGGTCTTTATAAGCCAGCCAGCCGACAGGAGGACTCGTCCGTCCTCCCCGCCGAGGGCTACGCCGAGGCGTCTCCATGGTCCTGCTCCCGCTGCTCCCGCCCCTGCTCCCCCTGCTCCTGCTGCTACTGCACATGTTTTTTGTCGCCCGTTGCTTTTCTCTTGCCGGAGTTGAACCGGCCTTGAGATTGCCACTGTTTCTGCTCATCCTACGCAGGTTCCAGGGTGACGGGTTCACGTCACGGGTTGGCGGGTTGAGTTGGTGGATTTACGGGTTGACGAATGATTTGGTTCATATGTTGACCAGTTAGTGCGTTGATGGTTAGACACGTTCATGGAGTAATGTGTTGCAGGTTGACGAGTTGATTGGGTTCGTGGGTTGACAGGACAAATCGTCACGCGCCAGGTCAGGCCGTAGATCATAAGCAACGAGCTCCAGCCCGTAGGCACGAAGCAAAGTTTTACACCCTAAGCCTTGGGCTGACGTAGGTCCTACTTCTAAGCCCGCTGTTCCAGGTCGTAGGCCCTAAGCTCCAAGTGTCAGCCCTTGCGATCCAAATTTTCATATCAAAAGAACACAGACTCCACCACCCTCCCGAGCCTGGTTTGGGCGGCCCCCTCTGGAACACTGCAAATTACACATGATTATGCCCCATGGTTCATTTGTCATACGAATCCTTCCAATCCGAACCACGCAGGGGGCTGACTCCCCTCATCCATGTCGAACAATATTACGCGTGCGCACTCTCCATCCGTAAGGGCTTCCCCCTCTGCTGCCAGCCCCTTGCCTGCCAGAATGGGATAATCAGGAGCTATATCGCGATGCCTGGGCGCCGTCGTGAAGCAGCATCGAAACCTCGTCCGAGAACAATACCATGTGTCAGGACAACTTGCAAGCGTCAAAACACATGATATTGTTGAACTCTGCGTTGCCGGTTTGGGACTTCCCCTCATGTTGTGTATGGGGGCCTTCTGGCAACGACTGTAGGCGGCTTGAGGTTACGTTGGGCAAACTCGTGCGGCTTGGATGGTCTGTGGTCTCCTCGGCGTTTTTTGCAAGGGACCGTGGCGTCGGGGACGCGAATCTGGTACACACTACTAAGAATCCTTGCCTCGAGAACGCGAGCACGGCGTAATTCAATTGATATCGTGGTCCTGGCGCGAACATTGTGTAATTTACTAAGTGTGGTGGCCTCGGAGACGCGAGTATAATGCAAGTTGTCAGGGTTAGGTTAATCGCTTAGCCGTTCTGGGGGCGAAAATATAGCATGAATTTTCGAGGGATCGTGGCCTCGAGGACGTGCACATAGCGAATCGCACGAGGTTTTTTAGTTTCGGTGACGCAGATCTCGTGTAAGATCCGGAGGATGATGGCCTCAGGGACGCAGCTACTGACAACTCACGAGGGTTTATGGCTTCGGGAACGCGAGAACGGCGTACCTTACAAAGGATCATGGCCTCGGGGCGCAAACTCCGCATACTTTACGAAGGATTATTGCCTCGGACGCGAATATGGTGCATGTTTCTATGGTTCATGGCCTCGGGCATGCGAGTACCTTGTGGCTTACAAAGGTGTCTTGCCCCAGCGGCCCGAATCTCATGTACTCTTACGTTTTCCACGATTCCCCCAGGAATTCTGAGACCACTTGGAGGGCGTTGTGTAGGGTGGTTCGGGGCTCTCCCCCCCTCGCGCGGACTTCAACAATTTACAGTTGGAAGCCGACAGTAGATGCATCACATTGGAAACTGAATCTGGCGCAGGGAGCAGCAATTCTAATCCCCGCAGCCTCATGGCCCCACAAGGGGGCCAGCGGATATCAACATATCATTTTCTAATACATTAGTTAAGTGGCGCAGACGTCGGCATCACACCAAACACACTAGTTATGCAAGCATTCCAACGTGAACACATTAAACACAACCACACCTTAGGTTTACCATCGCACATTTTTCAGATGTTCTGTCCGCGCGCATGCGCCGAGGCCATAGGAACATAACACGATTCGAGCTAGCTCTTCCGAAGTCTGCATCCGCACCTCGCCACGCGGTGCACGTGCGTCAAAACAGCCCGCACCCGGTGCGCGAACGCGTATAACAATCATAGCATGCGGGCCACACGCGCGCGCCGCCACGCACGCGTGTCGGAGTCCTGCCGAAGCCATTTGCTTTCGAAGCATTTCATGCTGAGGTTCGTCAAGCGCGCACCTGTCGGTCGTTGAAAGCAGATGCTTTGGGAGTCCAGATCTCAAGAAACTTTACGCGCCTGCCTACTTAATGATCGAGTGACTTCACCTTTTCAGTCCTCAAGGTGGCGAACGGAACCCAATCTTCTGTCAACGCCTTCCGACTTCATGTTTCTACCTACTTCTTCCGACCGATGGCTATGGAAATGCGAGTTGTCCAACAAACAGCTCGCCAGGTTTTCTTCAACTCTGCGCGCCCGCACGTCCTCGTCCTGACCCGCGTTGGCGCGTTCGCATCACTGTCGTCATCGCCGCCGTCAAGCACCGCAATTGCCGCCATCATCTCCAGTCAGCTACATTCATCACGGGCACATGGGCAGCATGATCGTCGTCGTCGTCACCAACATCGACGCCGTCATTGGCCTTGCCGTCGTCATCGTCATCATCTCCATCACCATCGCCATGTATTATTATCATCTGTGATGCCGTCGTCGACGTCATCGTGCTATCGCGCCCGCCCGAGTCACCGACCCGCACTGAAGTGCACGCACGCCAGCGCGGCCTGTGAGGCGAGCTTGGAATTTCCAAGTGGCAAGCGCCATCGCGGCCGCACCTGCTGTGCCAAAGCAGCTGTCTGCTCTGCGTGCGAGCTTGTGTGCGGCAACGCGGCCGCAGAGATGCGCAGCCAGCGCCATGCATGTGCGCACTCGTGGCCGCAGGGGTCTTGCAAAAGCAAGCTGTGGGCGGGAGGGTGGGATGATTGCAGGAGCAGCGGGGTCGAGTACTCGTTCGTGAACACTGGTTAACCAACCTTATGACCTAAGTAAGATACGTGCTCCGCGGCCTCACGCTGTAGGCCCTGAGTCTTGGCCCCTAGACCCTGCGCAGTTTGGGCTGACGGTCTGGTCACGCGAGTGGGCCTGAACGGGGGGGACCCAGCCGGGCGGGTGAATGGGTCAGCAGGCTCACGGATTTGCCGGTTCGCGGGGTTCACGGTTCCAGATCAGAAATGGTTCTCATATGCCGAAGCGGCAATATAATCAGTATTCTGAGTGTTTCATTATGTTGGCGGTCTGGGGAGGGCGTTGGCGGGCTTTTTTTGCTGGACATCTTGTAGGCGCCCCCGCTGGCGCGCGGCGGCCCGCTGGGAGACCGCCGCGAGCCGCCCGGTCGGCCGCTGTTCCCCGCTGGCGCCGCTGCGCCGCTGGAGCGGCGAGGCGCCGCGTCGTCGAGGCAGCCGCCGCGGCGGGCACTGCCCGCAGTGGCAGTGCGAGCCGACCCGCATTTGGAGAGGCAGTTCTCGAACCGGCACATCCAGGACCCTACATCCTTGGGCGCCGCGTAATGGGGGGGTCATAAATGGGGGGGCGGCGAGGGTGGTCCGAAAAGGCACCCAAACGGTACCTAAACGTGCCCCTGGGGCTCCGGAGGGGCCCGAAAGGGGCACGAAAGGGGACCTTTTTTGACCCCCCCATTTGTGACCCCCCCATGAAGCCACGCCCAACATCTAGGTCCCTCGGGTGCCTCGAAGAGCAAAGCCGGCATGAGCACGCCTTCTCCGAGGCAAGCGCGGAGTTGTTGGGTCGGCGCTGCGCCCCTCGGCGGCGCGTTTGGTTGGCTCGGTCCCTCGTGCGCTCCGCACGCCGGGGAGGGTTCTCAGCGCCGATTCCAGGACCCCCCCCCACACCTGGTGGATCAACATGTATACTTTCGAGGGAGCGTAAGACCCGGGTTTGCCGGGACTCGGGTTCGCCATTGTTTTTTGACGACCGCGCCTCGAATTTTGACGAGGAGGAGTTTCGTGGGATGTCTTCAGCGGGAGGCCTCGTCAAAATGCAGGCTCGGCCTCGTCATTTTTTTGACGACCTCGTCGGGGATTTCCGAGTCCCCCGTACCCAGGTCTTACGTTCCCCTGGTGGATCAACATGTATACTTTCGCTATCTACATGTATATAGATCTAGATATTCTCCTACGCACCTCCCCGAGGGAGTCGAGCTCCGAGGCGATTACTCTCCGTCCCGTTCGAGATTTATGGGGTTGTTTCGCTCGGAACATCTTCAACATTCTGAAACTCGGACGCACCCTTCACGCAGATCGTGACGTCAGGGTCCAAAGACACAGCCTGTTGCATCAATTTCACCTGAACATCTTTAGAAACACAATGAGAATTCAATGATCTTGATCCCGATTCTTTGAACATGCTCTAACATACGAGCACCTTTTCAATGCGATTCTGAGAGCACGACAATTTCGCCTGAGACACGCTGCCCAAATCGAGCCCCGACGTTCGCACATACTTTTTGGCGGTCGCGGCCTCGAGCGCAGCGTCGAGGCAGAGAAAGGTCAGATCCGGTGCGCGCGCCATACACTCACGCACATAGTACACTACACACAACCTACAACACACAGAACACACACAACCCATACAACACACACATAACACACAGACCTCGCACACACAACACACACAACCATCACACACAACACACCCAACACGAGCATCAGGCACAACGCTTACACACAACACACCTAAGACACCGAAACTTTAGAACCCATACAAAACCCACACATAACCTACCCAGGAGACACACGGCACACAGGCCCATTCGATGCATATGAGGGTTTCGTGGGATGTTTCTCAGAAGTTTTTTGGAGGTAGTTGTGGCGTTTTGCGGGGCCATTCCTGAGGTGCCTCGTGGTTGTCATGTGTGGAGTGTCTTGTGATAGTGGAGTGTTTCGTGGTGTGCTTCTCTGGGTCTTTCGTGCTACATCGAGGCAGGAGGGCGAGGGCATACTTAGAAAAACACATGGCTGGGTGAAAGGAGCTGGGCTGTGGTTAAGAGGCCTCATGGACGACGCGGTTTTGTTTGGCATGCCTCTCGAGATGTTCTTGCTGTGCGTCTTTCTAGTGGGAGGGCAGTATGAATTAAGTCGTATAAAGTGGAAGCGTTCGTGTCTCTTGGATCGCAGCGGGCGTCAGAATGACCTCTTCTTGACGCCCTACGAGGCCCCCCAGAGCACCCCCAAGAGGGCTTGAGGAGGCAAGACATTTTGATTTTCCCGCAACTGCTTGGCAGATTTTGGGGTTCGGGCCTGTTCGGGCAAAGAGCGGCCCACCACGGCCCTGACAGCCTTCGAGATCACAGCCAGATGGCCCAAGATGCTCCCCACATCGCCTCTTGACGGCCCCAGAGGGTCCATAGACGTCCCCAGAGGGCCCCAAGACCGTCCGAGGCGGCCCCAACACGGCCCGAGAGGGCCCCGCAAGGCCCCCAAGGGGGCCTTCAAGAGAGCCCCCAGACGGCCAAAACCTGGCAAGGCAGCCCAGAATGGCCCCTGGACGGCTCAAGAGAGCTCGATGATTGTTCGAAAGGGCCCCAAAAGGACAGAGAGGCCAAACACGTACATTTCCAAGGCCTCCAGGAGGCCAGCCAGGGGCAACAACGAACACTTGCTCGGGTTCTCGGATGATGTGTTCGAGTGTTAGCGTTTCGGAGTTCTGACGTTCAGGTTTGGGTCTTATGACTCGGGTGTTCGGGTCAGGGTGCTCGGGTTGGGGTGTTCGGGCTTCGGTGGTTTCTGGCGCTCAGGTTTGGATGTTCAGCCCAACGAGAGCCTGGACATGCTCTCCAAGAGGGCTCTGTATAAACACACTTCAACGTGTTCGGTTTTTCAAGGACGAAGTGGATCCTCGAGAGGCCCCATAACGGTCCAAGAAGGCCTCCAGATTGCCCAAAAGGCTCGGCAAGGCGACTCATGATGGCCCAGAGAGGGATATACCGCATTGATTTTTCGAGCCCTCCCCCCAAAGAGGGTCCTGGACACTGCCACGAAGCCCCAAAGACGCCATTAAGGCCCTCAGAGGCCCCCAAGAGACCCCCTATGACGCCCTCAAGGCTCCCAAGACGCTCTCAAGAGCCCCTTCCATAAGCCCCACAAGCTCAATCACCCCTATGATCTTGATGCGCCATATGACCCTGTATTCCGATAGTCCTCGAGAACCTCACAACCCCATACGAGCCCCATGATCCTGATGATTCCTATGGGCCCTACGACACCTACGAACCCTATCAGTCATACGCTCCACATGAGCCTTATGACGCCTATGAGGCCTATGAGCCCTAAGCGCCCTCCAGGAGGTCTCCGAGACCCTCCCCTGTGAGCCCTATAAGCCCCATCAGCCTTGCGAGCCCATGAGCCCAATGAGCTCCTGAGCCCTACGACACCTATTAGCCCGACGACCCTTAGGAGCCCTTCGAGCCCGACGATTTCTACGACCCTTGTCACCGCTACGAGCTCTCGGAGTCCATCAGCACCACTTGCCCGATGAGCCCTACGACCTTTAACCACATATGGTCACGAGCCCAATGCGCCCTATGACCCTACACTCCTCACTACCCCATTCGCCTTCGAAGCACTACCAGCCCCGTGATCCTGATGAACTCACGATCCTTTGACCCCTCCGAGCCCTATGACCCCTACGAATCATCAGAGCCCCTAGAGCGCTGTGTGCCTTCCAAGGGCCCCCCCCCAGCCCCCCCCCATGAGCTCACCAGCAACCTTGCTCCCGAGCGTCCAGTGGACGCGGTATATACCATCAGCTCACATGAGCTTGATGGGTCCGTCGAGCCCTGCGAGCAGATCGTCGTCCTTAGTGCCGAATGCCCCGAGGCCCCTTATGAGCCCTAATGGCCACTAGAAGCCCCATGAGCCCGAAGGCCCCTGAGAGCCCTGTGCGCCCTCTGGCCCCTCCGAACCCCAGAAGCCTTCTGACCTTTGTGAGCCGTGCGAGCCGCATGACCCCGATGGGCCCTATTAGCCCTATGAGTTTTCTGGGCCCTCTGAGCCCTACGCCGCGTGTGAGCCTATGACCTTACGGGCCCTCTGAGCCATGTGAGCCCGACGAGCCTCATGAGTCCTACGAGGCCAGTGAGCCCTGTAAGCACTACGTCGCCAATGAGCCTCAAAAGCCCTGCGAGCCCTGTGAGCTCTATCAGCAAGGCCCAAGAAGCCGCACGGCACCAGGGAGCCTCCGCAGCCCTCTGAGCCGTATGAGCCCCGTGGGCCATATGAGCCTTATGACCCCCACGACCCGCTTTGAATGAACCCTATGATAATGAGCCTTATGAGCATGGTGGGCACACTGATCCCTACGGGCTCCATGAGCCGCATAAGCTCGACGAGCCCGCCCACTATGGGGCCCAAGAGCCCGTGACTTATGTTTGGCCAAAGTCCCTACGAGCCCCAGAATCCTGATGAGCTCATCAGCTCGAGGAGCCATGTGCACCCAACCACGCCTGCGGGCCCTCGGAACCTCATGATCCCCTTGAGCCGCGCTGGCTTAAGCATCCTCTCCCAATGAAGGCTCCGAGCCTCTGAGCCCCAATGGCGGCGGAGAGGCCTTTGAGCCCTCGGACCCGGTAGAGCCCATGGGTTCTATCAGCATCGCGCGACCCAGTGGCCCTACAGCCGAATCGCATCGCGGTGCCGGCGTGTACTGGTCGCGGCGGGCCCCTCTGGCGCCATGCGATTAACATTGTGAAGGCGACGCAACGCGAACTGGTAACACTGTATATATACATATCATAGCGTGGGGGCCGAGCTGTCGTTTATTGTTCCTGGGTGCGCGGCTGAAGTAGGATTCCGCGGTACGACTTCTTGTTGTTGTTGGTATTGTAGTTATGTGCTTGTTGTTGTTGTTGTTGCTGCTGCTGTTGTCATTACTGCTGTGGTTGAGTTTGTTGTGGTTGTTGGTAGTGTTGGTACTGTTGTTGTCGTCGTCGTTGATGTTATTGGTGTTGTTGTTGGGGTTGGTGTTTTTATTATTGTTGCCGTCGTCGTCGTGGCCGTTGCCGTTGCCGTTGCCGTTGCTGTTGATGACTATGATGTTGCTGTTGTTGGTAGTGTTGTTGTTGTTGTTGTTGTTGTTGTTGTGGTTGTGGTTGTGGTTGTCGTTGTTGCTTATGTTGTTGTTGCTGTTGTTGTGATGGTTGTTTGGCGCCGTCCCCCCGCTTCCCGGCCCGCATGCGTATCATCCGGCAGATGCGGATAAGAGTGAGGGGGCGGCAGAGACGTTGCAAGTATGCGAGGCTCTGAAGAACCTCGCCGCATGCGCATAACCTTTCAAGCTCTACAACGAGCCCGCCGCAGGCGCCGATGTTTTGTTAAAGAATGTTCAGCGAGCGAAGAACGGTATAGAATAAACTTTCCGCCGTCGGGGACACCTGCCCCTGGGCGGCTGGAAAGTTTATACCCATACGGTGCCACCGTAAGGGTATAAACGTTCCAGCCGGCCTGGGACAGTCGCCCCCGACAGCGAAAAAGTTTATTTGATACCGTTCTTCGCCCGTTAGCATGTGGGTGGGTCGCGGGTTGGGTCGCAGGCGGGTCGCGGTTGGGTCGCGGGGCGGGTCGTGGGTGGGTCGCAGGTTGGTCGCGGTTGGGTCGCGGGGCGGGTCGCGGGGCGGGTCGCGGGTGGGTCGCGGGTGGGTCGCGGGGCGGGTCGCGGGGCGGGTCGCGGGTGGGTCGCGGGCTGGGTCGCGGGAACTTCGCGATTGGGTCGCGGGTTGGGTCGCGGGTGGGTCGATAACGACGACGACATCAACATCAACAACAACAGCAACACCAACAACGAACAACCAACAGCACCAACATCAACAACAACAACCACGACGACGACGATGACGACAATAACACCACCACCAACAACAACAATAATCCGCATCGCGGAATCCCACTCCAGCCACGCACCCAGGGACAGTGGATGACCGTTCGGTCCCCTCACTCTGACATATCGATCAGGAAATCACCTTTGTTATATGTCTGGCATCTGGGTGGGTGGGGGCTCCCCCGTCCAAACGGACCCCCTGGATCCAGGGGGGCCCTGGAAGCTCCTGCAGAAGATCCCCTTGGCTTTCTGGGTTTCCTTGACGCTCCTAATTTGGTTAGGCAGGGTGGCCCCGCGAAACCTCCAAGCAGTCCCAGACATTCACCAGATGCCCGAATGCGGCTCAAAGAAGATCCCCAACACGCTTCCAAAACGCAAAACAGCATTAGTTTCGATTGAGTTCTGTACGACTTAGGGCATGCTCTGTTCCTGTCCCCTGGGCGTCCGAGACCGCCCAGGAGGCCCAGACATTCTCCCCAAACTGTCCATGAGCGCGTCCAGGCAGTCCAAGAGAGCCCAATGAGGGCCCAAGATGGCCCCACGACGCCCCCTGAAGCACTCCAAATCTTGACCTGGTCCTCCAGGGTGTCGGCGGTTGGAAGCCGGGCGCCCCGAGGAGGCCCCCTGCCGCCTCGTCGCCGTCCCTTTTTGCCGCCTCGCCGCTGCCCGTCGTCTGGGCCTGATTGGCAGTCTGGCGGCGCCGTGCTCGTCCTCGCCTCCTGGTCGCCGCGCCGTTGCCACCTGGGTTGCACAACATGGATGGCGTCCCATCGATTGTGCCGCATGGACGGCTTCCATCCCACCCACTGATTGCATCCCACCCCATCCCAACTAGACCGCTCCACACGGATCGCACCACGTCGATTGCGCCACGTCAGTGGCACTTCATGGATGGACGTCTGCACAGCATAGGTTGCACCACAGATATTGCACCACGCCGATTGCTCCACATAGATTGCGCGCCACAACGATGGTACCACATATGTTGCACCGCGTAGATTCCACAACATGTATTGCATTAGGTCGCACCAGCCTGAGTGCACCACGTCGATTGCACCGCATAGACCGCTCAACCAGTAACCTCAGGAGACCTTTCGTTATTAGCAACTCCCTGTTTCTCTTATCGGGGAATCGAACTCGCCCCTCCTCCTCCTGCTCCTCACCCCTCTCATCCTCCTCTTCCTCCTCTTCCTCCTTCCCACTCCTCATCTTCCTGCTGCTCCTCGTGCTCCTCCTCCTGTCCCTCCTGCTTCTCCTCTGTTGTGCGGCGAGTGTCGTGGACACATATTTATTTTGCACTATGAATGAGACCCCTGTCGGTCAAAAAGGTCGCCACCAACATATTGAGTTTTCATTTTTTTGGGTGGGTCTAAAGACCTATCGCAGTCATTGCACCACATAGACTGCACCACGTAGACTGCACCACCTGGAGAGCACCCCACATAATGCACCTCACAGACTGCACCACGCCTGGTGCACCAAAGTTGTTTTGATGATGGAGGTCTGGGGGTGAGATCGAAGTAGAACGGAGAGCCCCCCCACCGGCTAATCGGTTTCGGTTTCGGGTTGGTGTCGTCCGTGCAGGCGAGGCGAAGCTGCGTGGGCGGGCGAGAGAAATTCCTCCGCTGTGGTTAGGGCAGGTTAAGAGCCGTTTACCGCCACTCCTCCCTCCCCGGTGGGCGGGCGGTGGCCCTGTTGTCCCGCCGTGCTGTCCCGTCGTTGTCTGCTTCTCCCCCGCGGTGGGCGGGCGGTGGTCGGGTTGTCCCGCTGTGGTGTCCCGTCTGTGTCCCGTCAATGTCCCGTCGGTGTCCCGTTGGTCTTCCGTGGCTATCCCGTCGCTGTCCCGTCGCTCTCCCGTCGCTGTCCTGTCGGTGTCCCGTTGGTGTCCCGTCGCTGTCCCGTCGCTGTCCAGTCGGTGTCCCGTCGGTGTCCCGTTGGTGTCCTGTCGGTGTCCCGTCGGTGTCCCGTGATGTGATCGATAGTGAGATCGATCGTGAGTCCGATAGTGAGATCGATGGGGAGCTCGAGCGAGTGAGATCAACGGTACGACCGATGGTGAGATCGGTCGTGATATCGAACGTGAGATCGAGCGGCGCCGCGAGGGTGCCCCGATTGTGTTCTGAGCGCAGCGCTGTCCGTGGTGGCCTTTGTGTGGGCCGATAGTGTTCCGATGGTGTTCCGATCGTACGCAGCACTACCACGGTTGCTGTCGCCGCCGCACTCATCACCACTGCGGCCATCACCTTGCCATCAGCAGCCAGCCATTACATTCCGTATCATCGCGGGCGATGTTTCTCCCCCAATCCCCGAGTTTCGCCCGAAAAGTCTGGCCGCTCAGAAGAATGGGAAAACCCTGGGATACACCCCAAGGGGGCTATTCGGACGCACCCCTATCGAGAATGGACACCCCCCCATCGTATATCCCAGGGTTAGGCCCCAAATTTCTGGTCCATTCGGAAACCCCACGAAGCCCTGGGATAGGGGTCGACATATCCCCTGTTATATCAACCATTACAGTACAGAAGTGATGGCATTTACTCAATCGCTTCGCTCACTCCGCCGGCCCGTACTGTGCCATCGTTGGCGTGAGCGTGCGCGTTCGTGGGCCATGCGGAGCTGCTGGTCGGCGCTGCCGCGGTTGTGAGCGAGAGTCCTCATTGATGCTTCTGGGTGTCTCTTCGGAGGGTTCTCGCGGGGCGGCTCCGGTGTGGCAGTTTTAGAGACTGTTGGGTGCCTCCTGGGGGGCGCCTTTGATGCCTCTTGGTGATCTCTTGGCGCCTCTTGGGGGCCTCCCATTTTGTGCGTCTCAAGTTTTTACCCTCCGACCACCTCATGTACATCGTGGTTGGCATTGTGTGGTTCGTATCCGTGTCTGTTCCTAGTGGCATTCGATTGTTTGAGTCAGTCGTCCTGCCGTGGTCGTGCGGCTTCGTCGTTGTTACTTGAACATTCGCAGCGCGACCCCACTCATCACTCTTATGCCCTCCCACGTTAATTCGGACGTTCAATTTATGCTCTGCACTATCTTCCGATTCCGCGTCGTCGTGCCATTCTAACCGTTCCCAGAAAGGGGGCGTGTGAGGCAATTCTGATTGGACAAGGGGGCGAGGGATGAGGCTGCGCCCATTACATCAATGTTGTTCCGTTTGTTACTCGATGCTGTTGTTGTTTTGGTGCAAGCTCTTATTGCTAACCCACTATTGTTCCGTTTCTCTTTCATGCGTTTTACCACAAAGCGAATAGTATTTTCACAGACGGTATATCATCGTATGTTTTCGAACAGCTTTGTCGTGTTCGTGGTCTTGCATTGTTAACGTTCTTGCCACGACGCCGCTCCCTGGCAAAAGTCATGAGGCCAATCGCCAGCATTCCGGGGATCTCTAGATGTTGGGGGGGTTCAAGCGAAGTCTGGGGATTTCGGTAGTTTCGGATGACATCGGCGGACCTGTAAAGACTTCGCGGGGATGGGGGACAGGCTACGGTAGAAACATGCGGTGAAAAATACAGAGGCAGGATACAGTCGGGGCCTTGAAGAAGGAACCCTTTTCGTTTGGGAGGGGCTCCGTGTTCCTTGTTTGCTTCACAGTTTGCCTCGGGTTTCTCTCCTGGTTTTCGATGGGAAATCGAAGTTTTACTTGTGGATAGAAGGGGCCCCGTTCCTTGTTTAGGGTTCCTTGGGTCAACGCTCCGACCGTAATGCACGATGCGTGCTGGATGTGAGTGTGCGGGGGAGCGCGCTCGGAGGAGGAGGAGGAGTCACGAGGAGCAGCGATGACGTGCCGGACCTCTTTTTGTCCCATGGTCTTTGTCCACTGCGCGCCCCAGCTGGGTGCGCCTCAGCCGGTCATGAGGAGGGAGGGGAGCGAACGGGAGGGAGGAAGGATGCAGGGAAGGGTATAGGGCGGGAGGGGAGAGGAGGGATGGAGGGAGGACGGGGGAACAGCAGGGCCACAGAAGGGAGAGGGGGGCATGGAGGGAGCGAAGCAGGAATGGAAGGGCCTGGGGCCGCCAGGGAAGGGAGGGGACAGGGAAGTGGGGGCGCCCAGAGCCGGCGGCCTCGAGGACAAACGCCCCGGAGCTCATGGCCGCGCCGAGGATCGGGGGCGTCCAGGAGGTATGTGTGTGTGTGTGTGTGTGGACCTCGTGGCTGGAGCCATGAGCTTCCCCAGGTGCTCCCTGCTCCCCTCTCTCTCCGCTGACCACGCTCTCGGCCCTCCCCCTGCTCGTCCGCCCGCGTGCCCCTGGCCGCGGTGCGCCACGCAGCCCCCCCGCTCTTCCTGGGCCCCCCTCCCGCTGCGCACCCGGCGAGGAGCTGCGGAGGCTGGCGCTGCGGGGCGCGCAGTCCGCCACCGTGGCGCGCGGCGCCGACGCCTTCAGGCCAGGGCTGGGGCACCCGCCGGCGGCGGCGCCGGCGTCGGAACCGTTTGGTTCCCTGGCGATAACGGCCGCTACCGGGGGGTGGAGGGGTGGGGAAGGGCGAGGGGGCTGGTGACTTCGCGATCCGCCAGCCAATTCCCAAACGGCACCGGCGCGTACCGTGTCGTTATCCGGTGGGGGGGAGGACGGGATCATCCCCAGTGGCGGCCGCTATCGCGAGTTGTACAATACAAACTCTCCCTTCGCAGAGGAAGAAAGATCGAGCTTACAGCATGAGCAGAGCTGCTCGGAGGTCCGCGCGGGTTTCTTGGATCGGCGGTGGACCATCCTCCTTCCTTTGCGCGCTGCGTCGCCAGGGGTGTCCAGCGCCGATCCAAGGGCCAAAATGACGGTGACGAGTGACGAGGCTTATGACATCGACGTCTTGATTTCTGAGCTTTTTTGTTGTGCTTCTGGGGCTTCTCGTCGCCATCGATGGACGCCGATCGAAGACTTGCCAGGGGGCCCAGGAAGTGTCGGGGTCTTCGTTTTGTACCGATGTTGGTCCGTATTTCCGGTGTATTGATTCGTTCGAGCCCCAGGCTATTCTTCTATGTGGGGATCCGCGGAACCAGCAGTATGGCCCCAGGACCGTGAGAAAACGATCCACAGGATGAAACGTTGGCCCCTGGGGTGGGCAGGGGTCGCGTGCTGCACGGCAGCTTCGTGCCGCGGCGACGCCAGCTCGGGCGTTCAAGCTTAGCTTGAGCGCCGCCAGGGGGCCCAGAGCGACGTCATCGCCGCACGAGCCTGCCGCAATGATGGGTCGACACAAACATCAGGACGTCGGGTGCCTTGTATCCGCAGCACTGCCCCCATCATTTTTCAAAATGGAGGCCCCTCGGGTCCGTATCGTGTAACCGACCCTATCCCCATCCACATCTCGAGCCCCGCCTTCTCACCGGCTCAGTTGGGGATATGCCCCTCGAAGCCCGAAGAGAGCAGCCCCTATTCCCCTCCAGGGGGGTAAATCGGCCAGAGGGGCCCAGCCTACGTTGGTGGGGATGGGGATCGGAGAAACGATGCTGATCGGGGCTCAAGGGCGGGGGTCAACGCAATCGGGAGGTCCGGCAGAGCGCCGGTTCTTGCAGGATCGGCACCCGTGAGGCCCGTGGTGGCCCGAGGCGCCACCGCCGAGCCTCGCATCTCTCGGGAGGAGCGCCCGACGTTCAGGCGCCGTGAGCAAGAGCCTTGGCATCGCTCGGACGTGTGCGTTTTTTCCTCGGCGAGGGCCATCGAGGAGCATCCTTGATCATTTGGCGAAAAACCGCGCACGAAACCGAACAAAAACACAGTGAATGGACGTCCGAGCGATGGCCAGGACCACGCTGGGTGGCCTCGGCCCGCCGTTGCGCCCCGCCCGCTCCCTGGGCCGTGTTGGGCTGGACGAAGGGGGGGCTTGAGGGAACGGTGGAGGTTCGAAAGCTGCTGCCTGCATCCGGCTCCTGTCCCGCCGATCCTCGAAGCAGGGGCGCCTCCGGCGCGCGGGGGCGCCAGGAACATTGGCCACGTGATCCGATTGTTTGGCCCCCTCCACCCAACCCTCGCGAGACGTCAGAGCTGGGGAGACTCAGAAAGATGCATCTCAATACGCATAGGAAGGATTAGAAGCTTTCCCAGGTTACCCGTTGCACCCTTCCCCTTCGGCCCATCCTTGGCCGCTTTCACTGGCCGCGCCCGGGTTGAACAGTGTCGACGCGGCCTGATGAGGCCCGTGCACCCCATCGCGCGTTCTTTCTGTACGGGTTGACTCTGGCTTAAGAAACTCAGGAAGATAGTGGCCCCCGGCCCGGTATCGTGGCCAGGGCCTAACCTCCGGGAAAGCCTGCGTGGTCACGGCTGCATTGGCTTTGAGACTCGAGCTAGGGCGCAGCCCGGCACAGGTTCAGGGGTGGAACTTCGCAGATGATGAGGACCCAGACATACAGGGGGTTCATACATGAGGCGTAATTTCCCCATCAGTTTTTTTAAGCTATGGGTGGAAGAAAAAGCGCGATGTCCGCCTGGGCCCGCGTCGGAGGAGCGGACATTCGAACGCAATGGTGCGCGCGGTCGCGCGCGATCCGCCGCTGGTAATCGCGTGGATGCGCGGGCGTCCCGGCGACGACGACGGCGACGGCGACGCCGACTGCGGCGTATGCGCCGACGATGACGGCGACGGCGGCAGCGGCGACGGAGTCGACGACGAACTGGCGGCGACAGGGCCCGGCCCACGGGCGAACTTGCGCCAGGCCCACGCCCTCGTTCCTGGAACGAAATTTCTGTGCGCAGTTTTACCCCAGCCGTCTGTCCGCTTTACTAAAGCTCTCTTTTGGCTGTAGTGCAACGTCGTACTATATATCTATCTATATGTATACACATATATATACCTATATATATGTATGTATGTATGTATGTATGTATGCATGCATGCATGTATGTATGTATGTATGTATGTATGTACGTATGTATGTTTCGGAATGCATTGAGCCGCTCGCCTTTACTAAAGCCGCTTCTTTGGTTTCGTAAAGCTGATTCCTCGTCCTCGCTTGAGTAAAGCCGCTTCTTCGCTTCAGTGAAGCCGTTTCTTCGCTTTAGTAAAGCCCGCGGTCTGCCTCAGTAAAGCCCTGGGGATGCGTGGCCAGGGCCCGGTCGGGGGGCGGGGGGCCCCTATCCCCCCTGCCAGTTCACCCCGCGATGCATGCGCTCGAGCAATCAGGGTCGCTTTACATCGGGACGGGCGATTTTTGCACCTATTTTCAGCGGGTTGTAAACGCTCCTTGACAGGAGATTCAGGGCGCGAGCGCAGGACGTGGCTCGGCAATTCGGCCGCTCCGCCGGCGTTGTCGCGCAATACAGCAACAGCATTTTGCTAAAAGGCTTGTGTCGTTTAGCAAATCGCCCCTTCAAAGTAATAGTGTGCATTTACCGCCTCCAATAAAAGCACAAACCCCAAACCCTCAAAAACACAATGAATACGTGGCATACTCGGGCGCTCGGTCTTTAGGGCTACTCCAGATTTCGTAATAAAAGGGAGGGGGTCTGGACCCTCCAGGACAAGCCATTTCAGACCCCCGCCGTGGGAGAACCCTCCAAAATATCGTCCCCAGACCCCCCCAGGCCCTCCAAGATAGCCTGGAAGAGACCCCCCCCGAAATGAGACCCCCTTCCCTTTATTACGAAATCCGGAGTATCCCTGGACATGTGGGTGGTTTTGTCTGAGATCTGCACAGCAGACCCTGCGTATCCATAATTTCCTTGGCCATCATGACTTGGGGCCCCGCTCGCAGGATTACGGGCATTTTGATTGCAGAGCGCTGCGTTTTTTCGCCTCCTTCGGCTTCTGAGGGCCGCTTCTGGGCTCCTGGTGAAACTAGTGTCAGAACGGCGAGAACCATCGAGAAGGATACGTTCGCAGATTTCCACTTCTTCCCTGAACTAATGTTTGCGCCTAGGTTTCATTTTTTACTTTCTCAGGTAAGCGAGCTCTGGCGCCGGTTCAGCCAGCTTGTCGCCGCCCGTCGCCGCCGCTGTCGCCACTGGTAACTGGGTCGTTGTGCTTGTCCAGCCAGCTCGTCGCCGCCCGTCGCCGCCGCCGTCGCCGCTGGTATCTGGACCCCGGAGCTTGTCCATCGCTTTCGTCGCCCTTTGATTGTTTTGCGTTGTAATCGCATTGCCCTCTCGTTGCGGTGCATTGCATTGCTTTCATGGCATTAGTTTTGCATTGCTGCTTGCATTGCGACGCACTGCGTTGCATTGCGCTGCGTGGCACTGCTTGGTATTGATGTGCATTATTTCGCCGTGCTGCTCATTGCTTATCATTGCTTTGCGTTGCATTGCATTGCATTGCATTATTTTGTATTGATTCGCATTGCTTTTCGTTGCCGCGCATTGCCTTGCATTGCCTTGCGTTGCTTTGCATTGCTTTGCATTGCTTCGCATTGGCTTGCATTTCGTTGCATTGCGTTGCGTTACGGTGCTTTGCATTGATGTGTATTGTTTGACATTGCTGTGCATGGCTGTGCATGGCTTCGCATTTATTTGCCTCGCTTCGCATTGCTTAGCATTCATTTGCCTCGCTTTGGCATTGCTGTACATTGTTTCGTTCACATTGCGTCGCATTGCTTTTCGTTGATTTGCATTGGTTTTCATTGCATTGCATTGTAGTGCATCGTTTTGCACTCCGTAGATTGCGCCACATGGGTTGCACCACCTAGACGGTACCACTTTGATGGCACCATTTCGACAGCACCGCATATATTGCAAGACAATTGTTTGGCTCCTCGCTGGTTAACATCTTGCTCCACTCTTCAGCCGGAGACGAACTGCCGAGTACGAATTGCTGAGGGACGCCAGACCCTCCTGAATTTCATGAACGTATGTGCCCCGAGCCAATCGCATGATGGTGCAGTCAACGCGCATGGTAAGGTGGAGTATCATTCCCAAGGGTACCTTTGCATCCTTGCCTATGTGGCCGATCCTCAACAAATCCTTTGATCGAAGAACTTGAACTTAGGCGTCCAAGGGGCTTGCATCCTTACCGCGCAGCTGTACTTTACGCTTTGACCGTCAGAGTACGGGGAACGATCAGTCATTCCTTGTTCCTGGGTGCGTGGCAGAGGTCGGACTCGGCGGCGCCGATTATGCTGGTTGTTTTTGTTGTTGATGTTGTTGTTGTTGTTGTTGTTGTTGTTGTTGTTGTTGTTGAACTTTCATTTCTGAAGAATAACTACTGTTGATCCCCCCCCGTCAGGTGCACTCTGGTTTTTTCGATTGAAGTGCCCTTCCCCGGGCTCGCACCTTGTTTTTTATCAGGGAAAGTCTTGAGGGTCAAACTGTGTCGTTTCAGCCCTTCGTGGCCCCGCTTCAGCCCTTCGTGGCCCCCGGTCGCTTTGTTTCGTGGCCCCGTTACAGCCCTTCGTGGCCCCCTCGCTTTGTTTCGTGGCCCCGTTGCAGCCCCTCGTGGCCTCCTCGCTGCCCTTCGTGGCCCCGTTGCAGCCTCTCGTGGCCCCCTCGCTTCGGTTCGTGGCCGCGTTGCAGCCCTTCGTGGCCCCCTCGCTGCTCTTCGTGGCCCAGTTGCAGCCCTTCGTGGCCACGTTGCAGCCTTTCGTGGCCTCCTCGCTCCCCTTCGTGGCCCTGTCGCTGCCCTTCGTGGCCCCCTCGCTGGCCTTCGTGGCCCGATATATGTATGCCATTCGTGGCCCCCGCTCGTTCGCGCACGTGGTGGCCCCGTATGCATGCCCTTGGTGGCCTCGCTGTCGCCTTTCTTGGCCCCCTGGCTGCCCTTCGTGGCCCCGTTGCTGCCGTCAGTGGCCCCGTCCTTGCCCTCTGCGGCCCAATAACTATACGTATGCCCTTCGTGACCCCCGCTCGTTCGCGCCCGTCGTCGCCCCATAAGCATGCCCTTCGTGGCTGCCGCCTTAGTGGCCCCATCGTTGCCTTTTGTGGCGCCGCATTATCTGCATGTCGTGGCCGACGCTCGTTCGCGCCCTTCGTGGCCCCATATTCATGCCTTTCGTGTCCCCGCTGTCGCCCTTCGTGGCCCCTTATCTGCCCTTCGTGGCCCCGCTGTCGCTCTTGCCCTCGCTCTTGCTTTCGCTCGTCGTCGTCGTCGTCGTCGTGGTTGGTCGGTCCCCTGTCCGTCCCTCTTGGGGTCGGGCTGCCACCGATCATCGCTGCCGCTGGCCAGGCCGACGGTCCGCGGCCGCCCCGCCGCTTGCCAGGGCCCGGCTTGCAGGGACGAAATACATTCCTCTCAGAAGGAGTACGACCGAAGACGAAGAGGGTGGATATCGAGGTTTTGGGAAATACTCGCTGAATGACATTCGAGCAGATCAGAGCGAACAGTCTTAAAATGATTATTGTTGGTGTTGTTGAACGTTAACCATTTAACACTGATTATTGATCATTGTTGGACCCCTTCCAGGCGACCTGGTGCTCTCGCCTCGGCGCCGGCTACACTGTGATCGAACATGAGGCTCACACTCGAGCGGCTTGGGGGCGCGCAAAAACCGGCCCCCCAACAACAACAACAACAACAACAACAACGCTCCCGCTCGAGACTTCCTCTTTTTGACTCCGGGTTGGTGCTCCTGCTCGACGCTGAAAGCAGCCGTCCCAACACAACCAGGGCTACCGCTCGAGACTACCTCCCGTTCGTCGTTGTTGTTGTTGTTGTTGTTGTTGTTGTTGTTGTTGTTGTTGTTGTTGTGGTTGTTGTTGTTGCTGTTGTTGCTGTCGGTGCTGTTGTTCTTGTTGATTTCTCATTTCTGAAGAAAATTTTGGTATTGTTTTTTCTCAATCAAAGTGTGCCCCTCGACGCTCGCACCCAGTTTTTTGTCAGGGAAAGTCTTCGTGCTCAAACTGGGCCCCTGGCCCCCGGGTTACAACAACAACAGCTCCCGCATGAGACTTCTCCACAATTTAGCCAGGTCCCCCGCTCCCGCCCGAGATTTCCTCGCATTTTATGCAGGAATCGCGCTCTCGCTTGGGACTTCCTTGCAGTTGATTAAGGAATCGCTCTCCCGGCGTTCTGGAGTCGCGCTCTCGCTGGAGATTCGCTTGCAACTTACTGAAGAATGGCCTTGCGTTGGAATTTCCTGCAATTTGCCCAAGCGCCGCGCTCCCGACACCGAGGCACTCAGGAGTCGCGCCCGTTGTGGCCCCATGTGCATGCCCTTCGTGGCCCCGCTGTTGCCATTTGTGTCCCCCTCACTGTCCTACGTGGCCCAGTTGCTACCCTCAGTGGCCCCATAGTTGCCTTCCGTGGCCCCGCATTATCTGCACTTCGTGCCCCCCCGCTCGTTCGCGCTCTTCGTGGCCCCATACGCATTCCCTTCGTGTCCCCGCTGTCGCCCTTCGTGGCCTACTTCGTGCCCTTCGTGACCCTGCTGTCGTTCTCTCTCGCTTTCGCTTTCGCTCGTCGTCGCCGTCGTCGTCGTCGTCGCCGTCGTCTTCGACGTCGTCGTCGTCGCCGTCGTCTTCGACGTGGTCGGTCCCCTGTCCGTCCCTCTTGGGGTCGGGTCGACATTCCGCGGCCGCCCCGCCGATCAGCGCTGCCACTGGCCAGGCCGACGGTCCGCGGCCGCCCCGCCGTTTGCCGGGGTCCTGCCTGCAGGGAAGAAAGGTATACCCCCCAAAAGGGGTTCGATCGAAGACGAAGAGGGTGGGTATCGAGGGTTTGGGAAGTACACGTTATTGGACTCTCGAGCATATAAGGGCGAACAGTCTTAAAATGATTGTTGTTGTTGTCATTGTTGTTGTCATTGTTGTTGTCATTGTTGTTGTTGTTGTTGTTGTTGTTGTTGTTGTTGCTGTGTTGCGTTGTTGTTGTCGTCGTCCCCCCCGCGACCGGGCCGCGACCCACCCGCGACCCACCCGCGTGCCACCCGCGACCCACAAGCGATCCACCCGCGACGCCACCCGCGATGCCACCCGCGACCCACCCCGACCCACCCGCGCCCCACCCGCGACCCACGCGCCCGCGACCCACCCGTGACCCAGCCGCGACCCACCCGCGACCCACCCGCGACACAGCCGCGACCCACCCACGATCCGGCCCCCGACCCAGCCGCGACCCACCCGCGACCCAACTGCGACCCACCCGCACTGCCTTCACGAACAAGTTGGCGCCTGTGGCGGGCTCGTCGTGCAATATTTGAAATTAGGCGCCTGCGGCGGGCTTCTTCAGAGCCTCGCAGAGTGCAGACGTCCACGCCGCCCCCTCGCCGTCCCCGCCATCCGCATCTGCGGGGGGCTAGATTTAATTCTCCCCCTCTATGTCTCCAGCCACCTAGACGGGGTCCGGGAAGGTGCCGAGAGCTCCGCGGGGACCACGTCTTGAAGCACGGCTCGGCTTGGATAACGGGGGAGGGGAAGTAGAGGAGGTTCCAGGGTTTGTCGGCGTCTTTGGCTTTTTCCTGCGCGTCCAGAGGCCGAACTCGCGATATTTCTCGGGCGTGGCGTAATGGGGGGGCGGTAAATTAGATGCTCTTTCCGGGGACCTTCCTGGGTCTCACCTACAGGATCTGTTCGACTCCAGTTCGACTCAGGTTCCTTTGAGGTTCGACTCAGGCTCGTAGGTGCGACTCAGGGTCGATTCAAGTTCGACTCCAGTCGGCGGACGCCGACGCAGCTTCGACGCTCGAGTGGAGCGAGTGGCTCTGGGAAGGTCCCCAGCAAGAGTACCTAAGCTACAGGGGGGGGGGGGGGCGAAGTGAAGAACGGTGCACCTTTCGTGCCCCACAGGGGCCCTACAGGGGCCTCGCTCGGGCTCCAAAGGGTCACGAAAGGTGTACGTCTCTCCCTCGCTCCTCTCCCCCCTCCCCCCCCATCCCCTCCCCATGACGCAGCGCCCGCGTTTCGCGAGCGGGAGGGGGGGCCCATCGCGCAACCGTGCAGTCCTCCAGTGGGGAGATGCCCTGTATAGCCCCGCACGCGCGGCCAGAAGCGAGACGAGTCGGGCAGTCCGGAGGCCCAGGTCTCGAGTAGGAAGGAGATCGACTGCAGAATCGGCCTGCCCCCGATGTCTTCGCCGGGTCTTCAGAGACTGCGCAGAATGGGCATCACACGATTCTTCGCGTGTGATGTTGTAGGTTCGACGAACAAGCTGGAGAGAATCAATTCTGCAGTCGATCTCTTGCTCGACGGTCGCCGTGTCCCCCGATGTCTTCGCCGGGTCTTCGAAGACTGCGCAGAGTGAGCATTCTACGATTCTTCGCGTGTGATGTTGTAGGTTCGGCGAACCAGCTGGAGAGAATCACAATGCTGCCGTCGATCTCCTGCTCGACGGCCGCCGTGTCCGTCCCCGCCCCCTCCCTGTCACCGCTCGCCCGCCTGCGGGGGGGGCCTCCGAGCCCTGCCTGGGGTCCCCCGCGGAGTTTTCGGCGCATCCCGAAGTTTTTTTTTTTTTTTTGCAATCCTTCGTTTTTTTTTGCAATCCCGTTTTTTTGCAATCCTTCGTTTTTTTCTTTTTGCAATCCTTCGTTTTTTTTGCAATCCTTCGCCACAGGCTCGGCCTCCTTGGGCGGCCTGGCCGGCCAGGTCGGCCAGGCTCCGTGGAGCCGCTGCCAGAGGAGGAAGACCCTCATAAAACGACGCGAGGATCGGGGCAAAATCGGATCGGGATCACTCGAAATCTCTGAGAATCGGCGGGTTTGGAGGATGTATTGGGGGCCGCGGCCGCTCCAGAGCGTTCCGGAACGCTCTGAGAGCGCTCCGGAACGCTCTGGAGCGATTTGTCCCGATCCTAGCCCTGTTTTAAACCGCTGCCAGAGGAGGAAGACCCTCAGCTCTGGGCGTTGCATTTTTGTCACAACGAGCGTTTCCATCCTCTTTCGGGCCCGGGGCCCTCTCAGATCGGCCTGGCTTGAGACATGGCGCAGAACGATCGGGTCTAGGGTCCTGCCCGCGCTGTGTCGCGATGTTGCATGTTTGTTGGCCCGATCCTCCTCGAAATGCCGGCCCCAGCGCGCCAGAGAAGAGTCGGGTCGGGCGAATGGGGGGGGTTGGGAAAGGGGGGGTTACGAAATTTGCTGCATGTCGCTGGTTTCGGCCCCACCGAGGGGCCCGTTCCTCGATACATAGCCGCGTCCGGCGCCAGGAGGCGCCGGGAAAATCAGCTATGTGAGCTGATTCTCAAACCCCCCCTTTGCTATCCCCCCCTTTCGCCCGGCCCGAAAGAGGTCTGGGGATCGGCGGCTTTTGTATCCTCTTCCGCCCCGCCCGAGCACCTGTGGACTCGCCGGCTGCAGCGGCCGTCGAGTCCGCGAGTGGTCGGGCCCTCGACCAGGGACCGGCACGCTGCCGGGTACGCGGAGGTGGACGCGCTGCAGCGCCCGGCCGCGGCGCGGGGCATCGTCGGTCCGCGGTCGGAGGACGAGTCCTCCTCGCAGCGGGGCTCCTCCGACTCCGAGCGTGCCGGGAGGAGGGGCAAGCGGCGCCGCCGGGCCGCCTCGGCGGGAGGGGACGTGGTCGTGGATTTCTTCTGAGATCGGCGGTGCCGCGGTGTGTCCGCGCCCCTGTAGGTAGCCGCCGTGCAGCGCGGCGGCGCGCGAGGTCTCTCGCGCTCGCGGGCCGCTCCGTCGGCAGAAGCTCCGTGCGTCTTCGGCGGCGGAACAGGAGGACCAGCAGCAGCAGCAGCAGCAGCAGCAGCAGCAGCAGCAGCAGCAGACGCACTAGGACTCCCTGGTCCTCGCAAGATTGGGCAGCTTCCCTGAGGCAGGACAGAAACAGTGAGAATCCTGATCCCCCTCCCTCCCTGCCTCCCCTCCTTGCGCCCCTCCTCCCCAGGCGGCTGGGCAACGTTACCGTTTAAGATGGGGGGGAGGCGCCAAGCTGCAGCCCCCAGTCGCGATCCCCAATCCAGGAAGGGCGCTAGTGCCAGCATCATTCATGCTGCACTTTGGTTTCACCTCCTAGTGAGTTCATTCCTGGTATTGAGTGGGCCCGGGGGCTCGGCGCCGCCGCGGCCATCGTCGCCATGGTCGTCGGCGTCGTCGCCACCACGAGCGACGCCTCCTTGTCCGCCCCCTCCGTTGATAGGGATCTCAACATTCCCTTGCGCGCCCCCCGTTACCTATTCCCTCTCTTGCCGCTCATCTTCGCCCTCGCCCTGCCGCTTGCCCTCCCCGGCCATCAGCCGTCTCTTTCTCCTCGCCCGCTCGTTTTCCCTGCGGGAGAGGCGGGGGCGCAGCGTGCGTGCGGGGGAGGGGGCAGATGAGAGTGCGGTGCGGGGGGGGGGGGGGGGGGGGGGGGGGGGGGCGGAAGAAGAGTAAGATTATGCCGATGATTGGGGCGGGGGAGAGGTCGGCCAAGGGCGAGAGGAGGAAAGGCGAGGGGGTGGGCGAGGGACCACGTGGGATCAGGTGGAGGAGGGGGGACCACGACGAGAACGGAGGAGGATGAAAGGGGGTCGATGCGAGGACCAGAAGCAGTGCGACGAGGATGATGACGCTGACCACGAGGATGCGGTTAATGCGCGGAAGTGGTTCAGGACGACGATGTGGACGAGGACGGAGAGGAGATATGGAAGGGGGGGCGCGGGGACCAGCGTCAAGCCGGGCGAGAACCGGGGGGGTCGATGCGGGGGCGAGGGCCGCGAGGAATAGCGCGATGAGAAGGGGGGACGTTGACCAGGGCGAGGCCAATGCTGAATTTTTTTGGGGGGGTTTTGATCGCGGGGTAGATAGCCAGGTTCAGAGCAATGTTGCAGTGGCCTCCATTCCCTTATCTCTCATCCTCGCCCTGACCATGCAATGTGTCCCCCTCGTCATCAGATCTCCCCCCATGGCCGCAGGGGCGGTGGGGTGAGAGGAGATGAGTTAGGAGTTGGCGTGGGGGGGCGTCCCTCCGTATTATGTGCATATATATATATATATATATATATATATGTGTACACTGTATTTCCCCCCCCTCTCTCCCTATCGCTTTCTCCTGCCTGCTCGATTTTGCGATAGTGCTATCTGGAGTTTTCCTCTTTTCTGTCCGTTTGTGCTGTCCTCTTGTGACATGTGCGTGAAAGCTGACCTGCGCAGGTTCAGTGAGTTGGGGTCTCGGCGACGCTATCGGAATTTGCGGGAGTTGGGTGCTATCTGTTGGTTCGGGCGCACAAATTTGCAGCGAACTTGCACAATTATTCCTTGCGGCCCTGACATATGAAAAAACCTTCAGTGGCGAGCTCACGATAAGGAAGTTTTTTTTGCGTGGCGGTCTGGAGACAGTGTAAACATGTGATTGTTCTTGCGCTGGAGGTAATGACTAGTACTGCCACTGGTGCTCCATCTGCTGGCGGCGATGCGAATCGAACTTGTGCTTGCGACAATGGCGATGGCCATTATTGTTTGTCCTTGTTGCGCATGCGCCGCAATGCGCGCGTGCGCCGCAGTGCCTGTGCCCACTCCAACGCACGCGTGCACCATTTTTTGTTTGCACCACAGCTGTGTGCAAACATGCGCACAACGCGTTCGTGCACCGCGTTGTTTGCGGCACCGCGCAGTACTGACGCATGCGGGGGACTACGTGGGCCTTGCGGCGCAAGTACACATTGTTGTGGGCACGCGGGCTCTGTGCTACACATAGGACCTCTCTCGCTGTGTTGTGGGGAATGGCTTGGTAGCCTTGCAGCCGTCAATTGCGGGGTTGCAACAGGGTTCTTGTGGTAACTTTGCAAGCTTACAGCGTGAATCCCTATGTGGCGGCCGTATGACAAATGAGGTGTTTGTGGTGAGTTTGCGATGGGGTTCCGTGTGCGGCGGCCTGGCGAATTTTAGCAGCTCAAGCGGGAAGTAAGGAACACAATAACGACAACGAGCGCGCTCCCACAACACAGCGACATCACACAATGCTGCAATGCTATTCCAGTGACAGCCAAAGTAAACAGGCGGGATCTGATGACACCGCAATGTGGATTAAGGTTCGCATTGTTATGTGTTTTTTTGTTTTGTTTTCATTGGTTGCCATGCTTTGCGTTGGTTTCCCATTTTGGGGGGTGGCGCCACAGATGGTCAGGTGGACTTGCACAATATTTCTTGTTTGGCGGCCTTACACAACGATTTCTCTTGTGTGGCGGCCTTGCAAAAAAAAAACACATGTTCCTGTTGCGGCGGCGTTGTAATAGGAATCCGTGCTTGGTGGCCGTATAGCCGAAATTCTTGCGGCAGTTTCAAAACATCACCTCATGTATGCTAGCTTTACGGGCGGAGTCCTGTGGCGGCCTTAGGGGAATAACATGTGGATGTTGTTGCAGCCTTACATAATATCAGTTCGTTGTGGGTTTGCACAGTTTGTTGTTTTTTCTGCTCTTTGCAAAATCATGTTCGTTGCTCTTTCTGTTGCGGTTTTACATAAATAATGCTCGCCCGCGGTGGCGGATGGATTTGTTTGTGGCGAGCCTCACAAGAAGACCCCGCTTCTGGCGAAATTCATGGACCAAAGGCTTCCGAAGAAAAGTTGTACTAATATGTGCTCTTGTAAGTATTAGTGGTGATGGGGAGACAATTCTTGCAGCCATATACGTTAGTGATTGCATATATGAGCTGCTGAGATGCATGCTGGTGTCCCGGTGTAGCTACATACGATATTCACGCAGTTGGCATGATAATTGGATCCTTGCTTATCGAGCACAGGACTTTGGTACTGATTGGTTGGTGGGTATGCGGTGCATGGCTTGGGTCTAGCGTAGACTTCCGCACCATATTTTTGTCAGAAACAATTCCTCAATGTAAGAGCGTGTGCTTCTGGAGGAGTCGGATGGGTCAGCCGGGGCTCTCCTGATGCCTGGTCGGTGGGCGCCCATGGGCGCCTCGTGGGCGCCTCGTGCGCTGGGGGGGGCAACCGAGGCTTCGCGACCTCTGAAGCCATATTAGAGCCATCTGTGGTCCAAACGAACACTCAGATGGGATGGGCATGAGGAGGAGGAGGAGGAGGAGGAGGAGTAGGAGGAGGAGTTTACCTTCGGCGATGCTTAAGAAAACTTGAATTTTCGGCCAGAGTCTCGATTATTCTTCATGTTTCAATGTGAATCCTAAGATTTTGATAGAAATGTTGTGTTTTTATTCAAGGTCTGAGACTATGAATTTCTCAACCCATGATTTCTCAAGCACTTCGCAGGATGTAGGAGGAGGAGGAGGAGGAGGAGGATGAGGAGGAGGCGGCGGACAGGGGCCGCAACGACGTGGCAGTCTTGCCCGTCTTCCCTGGCGATTCCTCCGAGTCCACGGCGGGAGCATATCCGCACCCACGGGGCGTTGTGATCCGCACTCCTCTGCTCGGAGGCGGGCTCCCGTGGGGATCCCGCGGAGCGCTGGATGTGGACACCTTCCCACCCGCAGGCTGCCTGGGTCGGAGGACACCAACTATACACCAACACCGATCCTGGCCCAGGATCACCCTGGGCCCAGGATCGGTGTATATGCCTTCTTGCGCAAGGCAGGAGGGCGTATACACCGATCCTGGGCCCAGGGTGATCCTGGCCAGGATCGGTGTTGGTGTATAGTTGATGCCTTCCTACTGGGGGGCGGAAACAAGACCCGGCGCTGTCGCGGGATCCTTGGGGCCACTGGAGATGTGGACGGCTCCCCCGGTGTGGACCCGCGAGCCGCATCACGCCGTCGGCCGCTCCTCCTGCGCCGTGCGCGCGCTCGCGCGCCCGTGCGCGCGGAGAGGACCGGAACGAGACCTGGCTGCGACTCGCCGAGGACCCGGGGGCGGGGCGTGTTTTGATGGTGGCTCTTCGCCCCGAGGAGGAGGAGGAGGAAGAGGAGGAGGAGGAGGAGGAGGGTACGATACAGCGCGACCGGACAACAAGGCAGCGCAGCAATGATGCGATGCCATCGACGATGAGGTGGATTGGCTATCGAGGATCGAAGTTTTGATGTGTCATTGACTCACGTCGTGGCACCGCCAGTCCCCACTGGGACGGTCTTTGCGCATGAGGGCTGCAAGGAGGGCGCCCTCCTCGGAGTCGGGGTTCCCAGCGTTCGTTGGCAGTAAGAGCTTCTCTGGGATTTCCAAATTCCACCCTGCGGTGGGTCGCTTTTCCTGTCCAGAATCGAGTTATGCTTCCTGTCTTCTTCATTTGCACGATCCGATTCGATTCCGATTCAAACTCCGACCATCAAATGCGGCCCGATGCTTGCATGTCGGTGTTGTGCATCCTGCCGCGGCCGATCCGAGTCGATCTCGAGAGGCCTGAAACGACGCACATTCTGATTCGATGCGAGCATCCGATGCCGACTGACATACTGCCAGTCCTCCTCCCCGCCTCATCCTCGCGTGCAGGGTTGTCGACGAGAACCCCCTCCCAAGGGGTGCCAAGATGGGCGAGAAGCATCAGAGTCCCTGACCTCCTCCCTCCCTTCCTTCCCCTTTGCCCCTCCAGCCCCGTGGCCCAGGCCCTCGAGCGCACAGGGCCGCTCCCGACATGTCGAGGTAGGCCCCAACCGTACTGAGCCAGTGTGGGCTCTTCGTGACATTCGACACTCACACACTTTTAGACTATTAGTGTGGAACTCGCTCTTGAATCCTGTGTTGTAAATTTTCGGCATCAGGTAGGTAGTTGCAGGGCTGGGGATATCTTAGAGACGCTGCGCTCTGCTGACACCATCGTGGGCCCAGCCAGCACGCAGAGGCATCACATGAAGCAGCCGATCACAACGCGTCGCACACAGTGTAGGAGGTTGCGTGGGAACGGGGCACGTGTACTGACAAGAGTGCGGGATGCCCGAGCTATACGCAGCTGGCATGTGGTCGAGTCGTGTGGTCGACTTTCGGCACCCCCTTGGCGAGATGGCAGGACTTGAAGGACTCGTGCGCGTTCGCTCTGGCCACTTCGACGGTACGATCATTGCCGCCTACCTCCCTCTACTGAGTAGCATACGTGTGGACCACTGGCGACAATCTTGCAGAACATTGACCGGGTGGCTACACCAGTGTGTGCAGGAAGCGAAGAGGAGGTCGCTCGCCATTGTTTGTACGGAGTGTAACTGTTGATTTGGAGTGAGACGGACAGGCCACGCGATCGCCACACCCACTGTTTGATCATCAGCATCTGGGCCCTTCGCCTGTTCCGTCTAGAACGTGGTCTCTATGGAGCTGTGGTGGCTCCTGGAAATGGAAAACATGGCCACGGTCGACACGTTTTTTCCTGTTGGCCCGGCGCACCTTGAATTTGATATCGAGATCACACGATTGTGCCGTCGGAAGCGGTGGTATCTACAGTACGTTGTAGTACAGTTCGGAATGCGATGTGAGAACTGCAGGCGATCCTCGACGGTCGACCACGCGACCGTGCCCCACTCCGGCAGATTCGGTTTGTTTTTCATGCGCCGCCAGGACCCAAGGCGTGGCCAGCTTGGGACAAGGATCGGTTGTCAAGCTATTCGGACACGATGGAGCTGGAACCGAGATCCTGAATGAGCTGGAGCGTCGAGCGGAGGCCTCGCAACGATATTGGGAACGGGAAGTAAATCGTGCTGATCCGGGTGTCCCATGGGCCAGGCTCGTGGAGGAAACCCGCGAGTCAGCGCTCCCTGAGCTGACCATGTGCGTGCAACGAGGCCCCCCGGGCCTCGTGCTTCGAGGCTCGTGCTGACGCTCTGCAACGCAGGTGCCGTGCACGCAGAGCCTGCTACGCCGAGGGCCAGCGACGCCGCCTGCGCGGCATAGAGCAGGGCGCCAAGAAACTCAAGGAGCGACTCGACATCGAGCACGTGGAGAGCCTATTCGTGGAAGTTGAGTCGCCTCGACACGCAGCTGATCACCGCGACGTCTGGCGGATCATCCGCGCAGTGGGAACTGGCAGCCGCGTGCCCCGACGGCGTTCGTTCCACGTGCCCGACCAGCGCTTGCAGCGCCTGGCGGGGTGAACCGAGACGATGTGCGCCATTGCTCGCGAGGGTGGCTCTAGTGCCCGAGCGCCACAGGGCTCGATGGAGCCCGCGAGAGACGCCCCCGAGACGGAGGAAGGCTTTGAGCACTTCGACGGAGCTGCGCCCGCCTCCCTCTCCCACGACGACTGGCGTCGAGCAAAGGGCGCAGCTCCAGCGCGCGGCCCGCAGAAGGTGCGCTCCTGCCCGCTCGCCCCCCCCTTCCGAGCTTGGGCACTGGCTGGTGCAGCACGCCGCGCGGGAGATGGTGGGCTCGTGGCCTGGCTCCGAGCAGCTGCCAGAGCGGCAGCAGGAACGCATGGAGGATCGACTGTGTTTTGCCATTGCCAGTGTTTTACTCGACGCCTTCGGCGCTTTCTCCGCCAGGTCCGTTCTGCGTCTCGCACCCCTGGGCAATGGATATGGAGTGGCATTTCAGCTCTCCGAGGGGAGCTACAGGATGGGCGCCAAGGCCGTGCGTCTCATCCACTCTTCTTGTCCGTTTGGGCAGGTTTGGTCTCGGGGGCTTTCTCTTCGATCGCGACGTCCTTTCCCGCCGCGCGCGCGGGCATGCGCCTCGTCGACGTCGTCGGAGTGCGCAGCTTGCAGCAAGCGCGCGCAGTCGGCGCCTCGCAGTGGCTCGGAGTATACCACCTGCCCGCGAAGGAAGACATGTCGGGCGCCCTCCATCCGCGGTCCAAGCTGAGCTTGCCCGCGCAGTCGCGCCAGTCGCCCCTCGCCCCCAGGATCGCGCCTTCCCAAATGAGAGGCACGGGGGGGCCGTGATGGAGATTCGGGCAGGGGGGCAGACTGGGTGCTCTCAGCCAGCGCATGAATCTGGGACGGGGGATGGGAGCGCCCGCGAGTTTTTTTCGCGCGCGGCTTCTCGCACCACGTCGAAGCTGTGCGATGATGAGTCCAAGGTCTAACGCAGCGCGCTGGGGGCGCAAGTCCCGCTTGCTCGAGCCCCTCGCATCTTGGCGCGCGCCGTGGCAGGCGTGATGCATGATGTTCCTGTTAGACGCTGCGCTGGCGACGCCCGCCAGACGATCCCCCCCCCCCCGCCCGAAGCCCGCTAGAAGCGAAGTCCAAGGTGCAAAGGTCGAACGCCGCCCTGGATCGGGAGCTGTCCAACGGGCGCGGTTCTGGCAGGACCGAGATATGGAGAATGCCGTGCCGGTCACGGTTAGGCCTGGGGCCCACGCAGCATCTCTGGCACCCCTTTCGAAGGCCGCCCCCATGCCAGGAGTTGCGACTTCGGTCGGGCCTCTACTTGGTCGGGGCGGAGTTGCTCTGCTGACGACGCGGGGCGGGGCGGAGATTGAGAGGGGGTTTGAGGCTGCGAGGGCGGCGCGGAGAAGGCCCTGGAGGTTTTGGGGGCTCTCGCGTTCGATTTGTTTCAAGAGGATGGCTTGCAAGGCGGCAATCTCGGCCGCCGCGCGCCTGGGCCTGGACAGAAACGCCCCCCCTCCAAGCCCGGCTCGCGGGGGCCAAACGCGGCGGTAGCAGGGCTCGTTCGAGTAGTCCCCGGGGCCGCCGCCCAGCGTTCGACCCGGGGGCTCTCCTGGCGCAAGGCCTAAGTACCGATCGCTTTCGGATGGACGCGTCTCGAACAGTTCAGGATCACGGACTCGAGAGCTTCTCGCGCGACGCCTTCGGCCGTGGCGGTGTTTGTTGAGGTATCCCTAGGATCGCGCTTAAACTCTCATCGTCCTCTTTGGCGCACTGGGCGGCCTTGGCGAGGCGCCGACATTTCGGGGGGGCGGCCGCGTCGCCGGCGCGGCCAATTCATTGACGCTCCAGCTGGGGCGCGATGAGCAGGCACTGCGATGTCTCTGTGGTGTTGGGCAGTTCTTCGACATGTAGGCCGTCAGCTCCACCGGCGCCCCTGAGGACGCCCTCGAAGAATTCGCGCGCGATCTGCGCGGGGGGCGGGGGCGGCGGGGGGCGCGGCGCGGCGTTCTACAGCCGCGGGGCCCTCGTTGCTCACTGGCGTCGCCATCTTAGCCGTTTGCGTCGCGTCTTTGCCCGCGTGATACGAATCGCGAGGCAGTGTCTGCGCTGTATGTCCACGTTCAAGGGCCAGCTCGACGCCAGGCGCCGCGTCGTGCAGCCCCTGCAGCGCGGTCGACGCCTGCGTGGCCAGAGCCCTTGCGCTCCACCCCGTCCTAGAGCCCGCGGGCCGCGGCTGCCTTCTGCCGGGACCTAGAGGCCGCTTTTGATGGGTTCGTTGTGCGCGTGTGTGCGTGTGTGTGTGCCACCTGGCTCGAGGCACATTGATCAGTTTGAGACCCTTGCAGAGTTGCATCGGCGCATCCGAGACGCTCGCACGCCGCCGCCGCCCGACGCTGCATCGACAGAGCGGGGCGGGCCTGGCCGGCCGCGCCCTCGGCCAAGAGCCAGGGGCATTCGCCGCCGCGCGGCGGCCCCGCAGCGGAGACAGCGGCGATCAATGTCGAGTTGCGGGGCCCCAGGGGGTCGGAGGCCGAGGGCGCGACGGGCGCCCTTCCCGCGACGGCGGGCGGGGCCCCCCTCCAGAGGGCCCCAGGGCCCAGGAGGCTGCGGCCGCCGCCAGCGGAGCCCCCCCCCCCACGGCAGCCGCAGCCGCAGCCGCGGCCACCGCCAGCAGCAGGCCAGCCCCAAGGAGTCTTGAACGCTCTCAGCCAACTCTTCCAGAGCGCCGAAGCGACGCGCTGGCTGCGGCGCAACGACGCGATGGGCTTAGGCGAGGAGGCCGCGGAGAAACCGCAGTGGCTGGCCGCCAGGGGGGCGGCGCTCTACCGCGTCGCTCAACTCGATCGCGACCGCCGCGCGTGCCAGGCGATGCGAGTGGCGGCCAAGTTCTGCGTGGAAAACACCGACCGCATCCGCCGCTTCAACCAGCAGCAGCTCAGGGGCCTGCAGCGGATGCCAGTGCTGGACGCACTGGGGGCCCCTCGCACACGCGCGCGGCTCGCGCTCGTAGGCGGGGCGGAGCAGCTGGGAAAGCGCGTGGGAGCTGTGAACTACCAGGTCCTTAATCAGTGCGTCGACACAGTGGGCGCCGCTGCAGGGTCTCGCGCGCGCATTATCGGAAGCGGATGAAGATTCACCTCAAGGCCAATCTCTGGCGCGGAGCCGCAGTTGCTCGACTCTTTGGAGTAGGTCGGGGGCAAGCTCGCGAGGGGGGCGCCGTCGAGGTCCCGCCAAGGCCCCGCCGAGAGCGGCCGATGCCTGTGTTTTTTTTTCGACAGCACGGAGGCGCAGATGTAGCTGCGTCGTGGGCGGTGCAGGGGCTCGAGGGGCAGGGCGCCGGCGTCGCCGTCGTGTTTGCTGGAGTTCGATAGTCAGACTGACCTTCTCGGCTCAGAGTCGCCTCATCTTTGCTGGGGCTCGACTTGCACGGCGCCGCCCGAATCGGCTTAAGGTCGGCCGCGTCCCTGCTGGGTCGCCTAGAGCCTGCGCCGTCGGAGCCGCCGTCTTCACTGGCGGCCGCGGCAGCAACCATGACGAGTTCTCCCTCGGCTCCAGCGACCCCGTCTCGATGCCTGGTTCGCTTTTCTGGCCCAGTGGAGCGGGGCCCGAGACCCGAGATGCATCCTCCCCGTGCTTCGCAGACTGCTACTGCAGCCACTCCGAGACATCCGCCAACTGGCACGATGATCTTGAGGACGCCAGCTGGGGCCACTTGACTTTCGGTGAGTTCGTTCCGCCTGGGGTGCAGGAGCGAGAGGAGATTGCAGAGTCACTCGAACTGTTGAGTATTTCAGTTCCAGGCCGCGGGCGGCCTTCCTCATTGTTTCTCGATGACGTCGTCGTCTGTCCCTCCTCGCCCCGCCATTCCGTCGAGTTTGAATCCCTGCGTCCTCAGACTGATGGGAACAGCCCCGAGCCCGCTCTACCCTGCAGGGATCTGTCCTCTCTGTTGGCCGAGGGGCGTGTGGGCCAACCCTCAGGGGCCAGAATTGCATCCCCGCCCCCATGCGCGCTCCTGGCCAGCGCAGCCCTGATTCGGTTCGGCGATCGCGATCGCTTTGCAGCGTTGGCGATGCTGTCGTTTGACGGTCGAACCAAAACGGCTACGGTGGAGGAGGAAGGGGGGGGTGAGAGGAGCGGATGATATAGGGAGTGAGCGCGGGATCAGTGAGGCAGCTGTTATACGCAGCGGCAACGGCTTGAGGAGTAGAAGGTCTATTCAAAACGACTGTTGTGATTGAGCCCCCCCCGCCTTGTGCTTCGGGGGCCGCGAGGTTGATCCCGCATTGTTTCAGAGCATTGCATATTGGCCCAATGCTTCTGCGCTCATGCACAGGGTCCAAGTGGCAGGGTCACGGCATTCAACATGTCTGATCTGAGTGGCGCTAGTTTTCAAAGTCCGTTAACGCAGTAGTCCTGACACTCCTCTTTCTTCCATGGCTTTTGAGAGACGCGACGAAGGGCGCGGGGAAATATTTGAAACCCCCCAAGTGGCCACCCCCAGCCCCAGCACACCCGTAAACACGCAGGCTCATTTTCTTTCTTGGGGCGAAGCAGGGCTTCCCAGCCACGGCAGCGGCGAACGTAGGCCTTTCGGATCATCAGGGCCATCCGAGCTCGGGATCGCTGAGCTCGACAATGCCTGGCTCCGCCTCAAAGGTCTGGAAGTTTGACGTTTTCCCGGGGAAGCGTGCCCCATTCGGCGTGTGCAAGTTATCCCAGATGGTGCCCACTCATGTAGTTGGGAAGGAGACCGCGAACAACGACAAGAGAGCCAGGAATTCGTTACCATCGAACGCCTCATCAATCATTGCATGATGACGCCGTACACGGCCACTGTTATTGGGCAAGCATCGAGGAACCCATAACGCGCGATGCAGATCCGCCTCAAGATGCCGACTCGTCTTTTCCATGCTCCGAGGGCTCCGAGGGGATGAAGGTTGCGGGCTTCGGCAGCGTTGACAACAATATATACGCAATTGTCTGTCTACGCAACGCTGGGCATCGGCATCGCCGAGCAGGATGTGGGCGACATCGGAGACCAAGACTAGCGCGCTCCCAAGAACATGGTGGAACAACACGTTCAGCTGGACCCGAAAGATCACATCCCCGACGAGGCTCGCTTCGTCCCCGTCTTCATCGAGGCGTTGAGGCCGCGCTGCGTGCAGGTCGGCCGCCGCCGCGCTGGCAAGTGGAAGACCGATGACGTCGACGACGATGGCAGCATCGACTTCCGCCCACATTGTCTGTTTACATCAGTGTGGGGGGGCGGGCTCGTGGCCAAGGTCGTCTACATTAGGGGCGAGGCCGCCGCGTTGCCGCCGCAGGACAACATCGACCATCGTTTCAGGCTGGTGGACCCCGCAAGCGACAAGAACTGCCACTTCAGGTTCGAGAAAACAGAGCTCCTTCTCTGCGTTTACTTCAATGAGGACGAGGTCCCCAACATAATGCAGCGCGATCGTTCTGAGATGTCCCGCGAGCTTGCCGGGGCTGCAGCCGCTCGCATCAGCGCGGCAGCCCAGGCGCGCGAGAGTCTCGCGGAGGCGCGCGCGGTTTTGCTCGACAAGAGGGCCAACAGGGTCCGCGACGAGGCCTTGACTAAAACCCGCACTGAAGCCGCCTCCAAGCCGAGAGTCAGGGGCAAGACGTCGTGGACTTTCTGACCGCAGCCTGCGTTGATGGACATCCAGCCCTCCTCTGAGGCGAGCTCCTCCAGCGCCCCCGTCGTGAGCTCGGTTGCGGACAGCCCTTCTTGCAAGAGGAAGGGCGCTGTCGCACCGCTGGAGAAGGCGAGCAGGCGCGCTCGCCGCGCAGCCGTGGCGGACGCTGACTGAGAACGCGCCGTCGTTTCGCCATGGGGCACTTCTTTTTCTTCGCAGTCGCTGCGGGTCAAGCGCAGTGAGCTCGGGATGCGGATGATGGAGCGCGGGAGGCGAGGGGCCCGGAGATCGGCCAAGGGGGTCAGTAGCGCAGGCTCCAGCGCGAGCTGCCACTTAGTAGATGTGGGACTCAGTCTTTGGACTGGCGATGCCTCCTGCGGCGCTGCCGCGCGACCTCGCGGGCGCGCCTTTAGAGGGGGGGCGCGGCGAGAAGTCTGGGCAGTCCTCGTCGGCCATTCCCATTGCCGTAGTCGAGTTAGTATCCTTGTGGGCCCTATGTGGCCTGTGCGCCCCATGACGCATAGGGGCCCTTTGAGGCCCGTGGGGCCCATGGCCGATGAGGCCCATGAAACCAACCAGCCTCATAGGCCCTGTGAGCCCTATGGGGCCGAATGGCCTCGTGAGGCCGATGAGTCACCTGAGGCGCGTGGGCCCCATGAGGCCTGCAAGCCTTACAGGGCCCATGAGCCCCAAGAGCCCGACGTGGCCCATGAGCCCTATAAGCACTAAGGGCCCTATCGGCACCATGAGGCTCATTCGCCCTGCGGGCCCAAGGAGCCCCATGTTGCCACGGAGCCCCATGAGGCCCATGGGCCCTGCGAGGCCTATGAGGCCCATGAGCCCCGTTGGCCCTATGAGGCTTATAAGCCCTATGCGGCGTATGGGCCCGATGAGGCCGACGCGCCCAATGAGGCACACGGGCCGGCGAAGCACACGGGGGCCCATGGCGCCCGAGGAGCCCTCAGTCGCCCAGGGAGTCGGGCGACTGCGTTGCCCAGCTTGAGACCCCTTGCACTTCATCTTCTTCCACGGCTCTGGCTCCCGCAGCTCTTTGGCGGTAGTCTTTGTGAGATTATTCCGGCTGTTCGTCGGTCTTGGAGTCCGCGTGGCGGGTGCAGTCGGCAGTGATTTCGATGGCTCTCTAGCCCTTGTGAGGCGATTCTCCAATGATGGCAGGGCTGCCGCTGACGATGCGACCAGCTTGCGACGACTGCTCGGGAAGCTTCGAACTTGTTGAACGCTATCAAGTCCGATGTGATCGGTGACTCCCTCGTTGTGAAGTTCGCAGACATGCTGTTGAGGTTGTTCGCAAATCCAGCGATGGTCGTCGCAGTCAAGAGTATACTTAGGCAGATGTCGGCGCGCGTGGGCTAGGCCGTCGACGCGCGCTTACTTGATTCGGCTCGCGCATCTTGCCAGGGGGTCGCCGTCGAGCCTGGTCATCGGAAGCCCAGTCTACAGTGGATACGCCACCACTTCGATAACACGTTGAAGCTTTTCTTCGCCAGTGCCGCTGAACCTGAGAAGAGGGGCAAAGCAATTACTTGGCCACGCTTGCTGATATGCGCCGACCAATGGTAGGATGGAGTCTGCGCTGCCGGGTTTGTTCCAAGGTCCTCAAACTCAACGTGAATATGCCTCGGGACCAGACGCGCGCAGCTCGCGACGACATCATGGATGGCTTCAAAGAGGCAGGCGGATACTATCGCATGGCATTTGTAACCTTCCGGCTCAATATAACAGTGCCCCCATGGCATGAGCGCGTGCGCTGGAAGCAAGTCCTAGGATGTGCTGAAGAACTTTTCGGTAAGCACGAGCACCCATCGCGAGCTGCCGTTCTTTGCGGACATGGACCACGCCCTCGTGCGCGAGCCCGCGGGGGCCAAGTTCCTTCAGGCCCGCGGCCCGCCCATCGCATTTTGGGGGCACTTGAAGACGCCCAGCGCTTTCACGAACAGGGGGGGTAACATCGTGATAGGGCGCTGCGGGGGCATTATCCGCAAACTGAGGTCAAAGTTGCCGCAGCCCGAGCAGCGCAAGTTCTTCCACGTGGCCACGTGCCAAGAGTTGGACATGTTGCACGGCAGGGCCTTAGCCGTGAGGCTGCGCGAGAACGACGCCGACCTCGACGACCCCAACGCAGACACAGCTGCCAAGAGGGGCGCGTCCGCCGTGCAGAAGTTGCGCAAGCAGGGCTGCAATCAGATGGTGGCTAGCTTGATGAAGATGCCCAGTTCAGATTGGAAGGCGAAGGATGCCTGCGTGGCCCGCGCAGCGGCTTCGCGGGCGCAGTTGGTGGAGAAGTCGAACGAAGAGCTTCGATCAGTCGGCGCTGCCATCCCCTCCGTCACGAGGCAGCTGGAATCGGAGATCCTCGGTGCGTGCATGGAGACCTTCAACGTTTTCGAGAGAATCGGCTCCGTGTCCGCCCGCGGAGGCGAGCATCGCGAATATCTCGAGTGATCAGGTGTGTGCCGAAGGGGATGTCATCGCGCCCATGCTCGCCTATGCGGCCATCGGCATCAACTTCCGCAGGCTCAAGCGCATGGCGTTGGCGCTGGTCGGTTGGAACTCCAGGTGCGCCAGGTTCGCTCGGGGATGACGCTGTCGCGATGGGAGACTAGGCCTTGTTGCGCAAGGACGTTGGGAACTTCGAGCGGTTGCAGGCCTTGGCGGGCACTGTGCCAGGTTTCAAGGAGGTGCTCGGACGCGACGTCTCCGTCCAGCAAGTGTACCACGCCGTCATGGAGGGCGACTTCGAGTTGACCGACGAGGTTCGGGAGTTCTTCAGACGGGCGAGCAGTCGGGTCCTTTTTGTCCCAGGCCTGCGAGGACAGCTTCAATTGGCTGAAGGCCCGTAGCACCCACCAGGACAGGATGGCTAACCTGACGTCGTTGCGCAACATGTTGGTGAAAAGGCAGCGCGCTGGGCGAGAAACACAACTTCCGCGGCGCAGGGTTTTCGCAGAGTGCCGACGCCCCCCGAGCAGTTTGCCGCGCCATGTCCGACTACGCCACCAAGATAAAAGCCCCGCCGAAGGATTTCTTAGAAGTCTCGTCTTGCAAGCAGTAGCCCTTCTGGCATTTGCCTGGTGCCGAGCGGCAGTGCGTGCCTGTCGGTGACTTGCCAATCGTGAGCGAGGCAGGTCGCACGGCACTGAGGACCAGCTGCAATTCGCATGGCTCGGGGAGGTCATCCACCTCTTGAGCGACATCGTGGTGAGGAAGAAGGGTGTGCATGGGGATGCTGATCGTGGGTGGATGTTGGCCATGGGATGTGTACCTAACGGCGCTTCGATCATGTTTCTCATGGATGCGGTGACAGCGAAGTCGCCAGGTGGGAACACCACGTAGTTCAAGCCAGGCCAGGTAAAGGAACCGCTCGGTTTGCATCACCTTGTGTCTGATCTGATCCCAGAGGATGGGAGGCTCAGAAGATAATTTTGGCATGCCCGCGCTGGCAGATCATGAACTTTGGTGGGCTTGCGAATTACACGGCGTGCTTCAAGCCGACTGGCATGCGGCCGTTCGCTGCTGGTGACCGTGAAGGTCTCCTGACAGTTGCAGCGCGGTCTTGCTTCGGTAGAATGAATCAGACCTGGTATTCGAGATTGGCTTCTCATCTTTGCTTGGAGTTTCCTTCACCCTGCACGTTGCTGTCTTTGCTGGAGTCGCTGGTCCAGAAGGTCTTGGATCCAACGCCTCAGGAGATGATCGACATACTTGCCCTGCGGTTGCCGACGCTGCTCTCGAAAGAGGCGCGCGCGATCAACGGGTTTTTGGACGTGGAAGGCAGCTGGGAATACTTCGGCAAGATGGACGGCGAAGTGGTCGACCACGGGAAGAATAATGCCCAGCTGCAGAAGCCCGAGAGGAAGGAGTACAGGGAGAGCTTTCGCACGAAGGCCAAGGCGCTGCGGGGGCCGGCGCTGCCGGCCAAGGGGGGCGCAGGCCGCGGCATGGGCCGCGAGGGCAAGGGCAAAGGCAAGGATCCCGAGAAGAGGAAACTCCCCGAGGGCGTTCTTTTTTCAAATTATGCTAACGGGGTTCCCCACATTAAGATGTTACGGGGTTCCATTGCTTCTTGTCTGCGCTCTGGTGGGGCCTCCCTGGAGAGGTGGGAGGGGCACGGCATCTGATGAATAATATGGTGTGCGAATACCCTGCCCGCTCTGGTGGGGCCTCCCTGGAGGGGTGGGAGGGGCACGGAACCTTATAAATAACATGGTGTGCGGATACCCTGCTCGCTCAGGCGGGGCCTCCCTGCAGGGATGGGAGGGGCACGACACCTGATAAATAACATGGTGTGCGAATGCCCTGCCCGCTCTGGTGGGGCCTCCCTGGAGGGGCGGGAACGGCACGAAACCTAATAATAAACTATGGCGTGCGAATACCCTGCCCGCTCAGGCGGGGCTTCCCTGGAGTGGCGGGAGGGGCACGAAACCTGATACATAATATGGTGTGCGAACACCCTTCCCGCTCTGGTGGGGCCTCCCTGGAGGGGTGGGAGGGGCATGAAACCTGATACATCATATGGTGTGCGAATACCCTGCCCGCTCTGGCGGGGCCTCCCTGGAATGTTGGGAGGGGCGCAAAACCTGATAAATAACATGGTGTGTGGATAGCCTGCCCGCTCTGGTGGGGCTTCCCTGGAGGGGTGGAAGGGGCACGAAACCTGATAAATAAGATGGTGTGCGAATACCCTGCCCGCTCTGGTGGGGCCTCCCTGGAGGGGTGGGAGGGGCACGAAACCAGATGAATAACATGGTGTGCGAATACCCTGCTCGCTCAGGCGGGGCCTCCCTGGAGGGGTGGGATGGGCAGGATACCTGATCAATAACATGGTGTGCGAACACCCTTCCCGCTCAGACGGGCCCTCCCTGGAGGGGTGGGAGGGGCACGAAACCTTATAAATAACATGGTGTGCGAATACCCTGCTCGCTCAGGCGGGGCCTCCCTGGAGGGATGGGAGGGGCACGAAACCTGATAAATATCATGGTGTGCGAATGCCCTGCTCGCTCAGGCGGGGCCTCCCTGAAGAGCTGGGAGGGGCACGAAACCTGATAAATAACATGGTGTGCGAATACCCTGCTTGCTCAGGCTTGGCCTCCCTGGAGGGGTGGGAGGGGCACGGAACCTGATAAATAACATGGTGTGCGAATACCCTGCTCGCTCAGGCGGGGCCTCCCTGGAGGGGTGGGATGGGCAGGATACCTGATCAATAACATGGTGTGCGAACACCCTTCCCGCTCTGGTGGGGCCTCCCTGGAGGGGTGGGAGGGGCACGAAACCTGATAAATGCATGGTGTACGAATACCATGCTCGCTCAGGCGGGGCCTCCCTGGAGGGATGGGTGGGGCAGGAAACCTGATAAATAACATGGTGTGCGAATACCATGCTCGTTCAGGCGGGGCCTCTCTGGAGGGGTGGGAGGGGCACGAAACCTGATATATAACATGGTGTGCGAATACCCTGCTCGCTCAGGCGGGGCCTCCCTGAAGAGGTGGGAGGGGCACGAAACCTGATAAATAACATGGTGTGCGAATGCCCTGCTCGCTCAGGCGGGGCCCCCCTGGAGGGGTGGGAGGGGCACGAAACCTGATAAATAACATGGTGTGCGAATACCCTGCTCGCTCAGGCGGGGCCCTCTGGAGGGGTGGGATGGGCAGGATACATGATAAATAACATGGTGTGCGAACACCCTCCCGCTCTGGTGGGGCCTCCCTGGAGGGGTGGGAGGGGCACGACACCTGATACATAACATGATGTGCGAATACCCTGCTCGCTCAGGCGGGGCCCCTCTGGAGGGGTGGGAGGGGCACGACACCTGATAAATAACATGGTGTGCGAATACCCTGCCCGCTCAGGCGGGTCCTCCCTGGAGGGGTGGGAGGGGCACGAAACCTGATAAATAACATGGTGTGCGAATACCCTGCTCGCTCAGGCGGGGCCCCTCTGGAGGGGTGGGAGGGGCACGAAACCTGATAAATAACATAGTGTGCGAATACCCTGCTCGCTCAGGCGGGGCCTCCCTGGAGGGGTGGGAGGGGCACGAAACCTGATAAATAACATGGTGTGCGAATACCCTGCTCGCTCAGGCGGGGCCTCCCTGGAGGGGTGGGAAGGGGCACGAAACCTGATAAATAACATGGTGTGCGAATACCTTGCTTGCTCAGGCTGGGCCTCCCTGGAGGGGTGGGAGGGGCCCGAAAACTTATGAATAACATGGTGTGCGAATACCCTGCTCGCTCAGGCGGGGCCTCCCTGGAGGGGTGGGATGGGCAGGATACCTGATCAATAACATGGTGTGCGAACACCCTTCCCGCTCAGACGGGCCCTCCCTGGAGGGGTGGGAGGGGCACGAAACCTTATAAATAACATGGTGTGCGAATACCCTGCTCGCTCAGGCGGGGCCTCCTGGAGGCGGATAAATATCATGGTGTGCGAATGGCCCTCTCCCTGGAGGGGTGGGAGGGGCACGAAACCTGATAAATAACATGGTGTGCGAATACCCTGCTCGCTCAGGCGGGGCCTCCCTGGAGGGGTGGGAGGGGCACGAAACCTGATAAATAACATGGTGTGCGAATACCCTGCTCGCTCAGGCGGGGCCTCCCTGGAGGGGTGGGAGGGGCACGAAACCTGATAAATAACATGGTGTGCGAATACCCTGCTCGCTCAGGCGGGGCCTCCCTGGAGGGGTGGGAGGGGCACGAAACCTGATAAATAACATGGTGTGCGAATACCCTGCTCGCTCAGGCGGGGCCTCCCTGGAGGGGTGGGAGGGGCACGAAACCTGATAAATAACATGGTGTGCGAATACCCTGCTCGCTCAGGCGGGGCCTCCCTGGAGGGGTGGGAGGGGCACGAAACCTGATAAATAACATGGTGTGAGGAAAGGCATGGTATGGTATGGGATGGTGGATGCATGGTATGGTATGGTAAGGTATGGTATGGAGTGGCATGGTATTGGTATGGTATGATACAGTATGGGATGGTGGAGGAAGCGGGAGGAGGAGGAGGAGGAGGAGGAGGAGGAGGAGGAGAGGATGTTTTGGGAAAACAAGAACCCCACTCAGGATGTGGGGAAAGAACTTGAAACCCCTGGTGCCACCAGGGGGGGTCATATGGCGTGTGGGCGCGAATGGCTCGTGGCATTCGCACTGCCCGGCGTTCAGACGCTTCTCGAAAAACTGGTACCTCCACGTCCACACGCGGAGCGCTGTGCTTGTGCTGCAGGACCTGTGGGCCAAGCGCCACTTGGTGCGAGGCGAGACCACAGGGAGTTGCCCCATCGATGGTCTTATCTTCGAGCCCCCTCCTGGCCCAGAGGAGATCAAACGCGCCCCGCGGGCGCGCTCTGGAGGAGGGATGGGGAAGGGCTAGGTTCGCAAGGCGAAGCAGTGGCGAGGACGAGAGGGGACGGGGACATGGGGCGGGCGTGCGCGTCTGGCTTCGACCCCTTCTTCCAGGACTCGCTGGCAGGAGTGCCCACGGAAGAGGGGGGGGGGGAGTGGGAAGGAGGGGAGGATATGGAGGTGGAGGTAGATAGCGCCAAGAGGGGGCCAGGGCGGGGTGGGAGGGCCCCCCGAGAGGCTCCAAGAGAGAGCCAGGAGGGCCCCAACAGGGCCCCACGAGGACACCAAGATGACCCCCCGACATTAGCACCCAGAGTGCTCTTTTGGGTGCCAATGTCGGGGGGTTACCTTGGGCACCCCCTTCGGGGCGTTCTTGACGCCCTCTTGGGGCCTTCTGGGCGCCCTCGTGGAGCTCCAAGAGGAGGCCTGGACGGGGTGGGGGGGGCTCTCCCGAGATGCCCCCGAGAGGGCAAGGATGGTCCCAAGATGGGGCCGCAGCCAGTTGTTTTTTCCCTGCTCGGTGCTCGTCGGGGCGTGCCCGACGATTGAGCGAGATGCAGCCGACCTCGCCGAGGGGCAGGGTCGGCTGCGCTGGGGTTCGCGATGGCTTGTTGGGAGCCAGGGCATCGCTTTGATACAGTGGCTGGCGGGGATCAGCCCCCCTCTTGAGGCATCGGTTCGTCTTCTTGCCTCTCATCCCGTATGATGCTTCGCATGTCCGTCAGTCCCCTGGCGAGCCATGACCAGCGCAGGTGCAAGTCGCAGACGCGCGCCTCATTGGGGGGAGGAGGAGGAGGAAGAGGGGAAGGAGGAGGAAGATGAACAAGATGACGCAGATACGGAGGATAACGACAAGGGGGCGGACGGAGAAGAGGAGAAAGAGGGGAAGAAAGAGGTGGAGGGGTGGGACACGTCCTTGGAAGGACGAAGCCCGACGAAGGCTTGGACTCTATATGCAAGCGTGAGTACGTGTCTTCGTATGCACGTCGTCGCCAGTCGTGTGTTCAGTGGGTTGGCTGGTCGACCATCGACAGCAACTTGCTCTATGAGGCAGCTGCGCGCGACCGCGGTGGCGGAACCTGAAATCCAACGGCCTCGGCCTCGGCGGCCCCGGATGATGCGCCAATCAACTGGGCCAGCCAGGGCCGCCATTTAAACGCAACAGTTCCCGCTTCGCTCGTTGGCCTGTCGGGCGGGGTTCGTCGATCGACGGCGGGCGCGCTGTTCGGCCGAGGAGGCCGCTTGGCCGACTTGGCTTCGCTGGGGTCGCCAGCGCGCGCGCTGCGCACCTGCTGGAGCCAGCGCCCCTCGCGCACGCATTCCTGCGCCGCGAACGCCAGCGGGCGAGCTCGAAAAGACTGTGCTTGACGCGCGTGGCATCGCACTGTGACATGGCATAGCACTTGGCATCGCTCGGACGTGTGCAGTTTTCTTTCTGCGAGGACCATCGAGGAGCATCCTTGATAATTTGGCGAAAAAACACGCACGAAACCAACACAAACACAGGGAATGGGCGTCCGAGCGATGGCCAGAGCATGGCCTGGCATCGTGACCCGTCACTGTGCCGCTCACGCGCATGGCATAACATCGTCATAACGTTCTTGCGTGGCAGTCCCCTCTTGCTGCACGTGCGAGGGCGCCCGCGCGCGCGACGTCCGACGGGAGGGCAGCAGATAGAGCATAAGGGGTCGAAATGGATCCCTCTTAGACCCCACGTGCCAGTCGCCGCGTGTACGCGCACTCGAGGAACTAAAGCTTCCGATACGTCGGCGCAGAGGGTTCGTCTGAAGGGGCCGCCGCGTTTTAAGAGGCCTTTGAGGAGGAGCCAGGAATGGACAGCCCGGCTCCTGCCGCTCGCTCATTTCATCTTCGCGTGCAAGTCCGTCGCGAATATCCTTTGAGGACTACCGCGTTTTCACCGGCCCCTTAGGAGGAGCCAGGCACGGACAGCCAGGCTTCAGGCCGCTCGCTCATTTCATCCTCGTGTGCAGGTCTGTCGCGAATCTCCTGTCCCCTGAGGGCCGCCGCGTTTTCAGAGGCCTCTGAGGAGGAGCCAGGAATGGACAGCCAGGCTTCAGGCCGCTCGCTCATTTCATCTTCGCGTGCAGGTCTGTCGCGAATCTCCTGTCCCCTGAGGGCCGCCGCGTTTTCAGAGGCCTCGGAGGAGGAGCCAGCACGGACAGCCAGGCTTCAGGCCGCTCGCTCATTTCGTCCTCGTGTGCAGGTCTGTCCCCTGAGGGCCGCCGCGTTTTCAGAGGCCTCGGAGGAGGAGGCAGGAATGGATGGCCAGGCTTCAGGCCGCTCGCTCATTTAATCCTCGCGTGCAGGTCTGTCGCGAATCTCCTGTCCCCTGAGGGCCGCCGCGTTTTCAGAGGCATCTGAGGAGGAGGCAGGAATGGATAGCCAGGCTTCAGGCCGCTCGCTCATTTCATCCTCGCGTGCAGGTCTGTCGCGAATCTCCTGTCCTCTGAGGGCCGCCGCGTTTAGAGGCCTTTGACGAGGAGCCAGGAATGGACACCCAGGCTCCAGGCCGCTCGTTCATTTCATCCTCGCGTGCAGGTCTGTCGCGAGTCTCTTGTCCTTTGAGGGCCGCCGCGTTTTCGGAGACCTTTCGATGAGGACAATCAGGCTTCGGGTAGCTTGCTCATTTTATCCTCGCGTGCAGGTCCGTCGCGAATCCCCTGTCCTCTGATCCTAGCGGAGCAGACACCTCGCGGCCGACGCCAGGGCATGACGGCTGCGTGCGTGGAGCTGTGGACGCGGACGAAGTCAGGTCGTCCACCATGCTTTCCTGGGAGGAGGAAGGGGAAGGAGATGGGGAGGGTAAGGCAGATATGTTGTTATATTCCACGGTGCGCATTGGCGATGACAGCGTCGCTGGATATGATCGATTTGAAAGACCGCCCATACAGCCCAGCTTCAAATTTCCTCCCCGCACTCCCTTGGAAAAGGGGGGTGTTGCCCAGGCTCCCCCTACCCCCCCCCCTTGGGTCGGCATTTTGTAGCTGGGGGTGCCCTGGCTAAGGGGAGGGGGTGGAAGCTACCCCCCCTCGCCCTTTTGGGGCAAGGGGGTCAAGTCTGGGCTCCCCTTCTCAAAGGGGCGGGGCCTTCCGAGCTCCCCCCCCCGCTCCGGGGGCCTGGGGGCGGGGGGCTTCGGAAGCTTTTCCCCCTCCTCTTCCGGGTGCGGGGTAAACCCAGGTTGCCCTTTCCCAAGGCGAGGGTGCTTCCGACGCTACCCCCCCTTCCTGGTGAAAAAGGGGGGGCTTCGGAAGCTATCCCCCTCCCTCCCCCCCTTTCGGGGTCCGGGGTAAGCCCGGCCTCTTCTTTCAAAGGGGGGGGCTTCGGAAGGTACCCCCCCTCCTTTCCGTGCGATAGAGGGGGGTGTATTGCAAGGGGGGGCTTCCCAGCCAGTTTCTTTCTCTTCTTGGTGATTCGCTAATATATAAGTGTTTGTCCTCTCGCGCAATTGGGTGTTGAATCTGATTTTTATGCTTGGGAGGTCAAGGGAGGAGGAGGAGGGGGAGGGAGAGGGGGAGGAGCAGGAGGAGGAGGAGAAGGAGGAGGAGGAGGAGGAGGAACAATGTTGGGAATAATGACGACGACAACGACGACGACGGCGGATCGAGCCCGCCAACGCCTCTAAAGCGTTGCGCATCTCGAGGTTCACTTGGATCGGGCGGGGGAAACCTCCGCTGTGCTCGTGCTTGTGAGGCAGTGGGCATGCCTATTGGGCACTTCTTTTGAGTTTCCGTGTGATTTACCAGGGTCTGTATACGTGCATTCTGGCGGCCTCAGAGTCCTTCAGCGGCGCCCTTTGGTTTTGGGTGCGCTCCTTAGGTTTTCGGCGAACCATTAGTTTTCGGAGTCCTTTTGGTTTTCGGGGCCTCTTTTGTTTTCGGCGTGCTTCTGTCTTTCGGAGCTTCTTGTGTTTTTGGTTGTGTGTTTGGCTTTCGGCGCCTCTTGGTTTTCGGCGCCCCGTTGGTTTTCGGCGCCCGTTTGGTTGTCGGCGCCCTTTTAGGTTTCGGCGTCCTTTTGGTTATCCGCGTTGCTTTGTTCTCGGCGCTGCGTTGGTCTTCGGCACCCTTTTTGGCCTTTAGCGCCGTCTTGGGTTTTGCAGAATGATGGAAAACATGCGCTGGTCCACCGGTCCACCGGTCCACCAGTCAACCTGTCTACTGGTCCACCGGTCCACCGGCCTACCGATCCACCGTCCTACCGGTCCACCGGCCTACCGGTCCGCGGGTAGTTTGGTACACCAATTCGCCAGTCCGCCAATCTGCCAGTCCACCAATCTGCCGGTCCGCAGAGGCCGAGGGGCGTCCCAAGAGCGCCCTCTGAGGCCAAAATCATTCCCTTTCCGATCGGAAAACGTACGTTTTTAGCATATACGGCTTTTCGGCTTTCACGGCGTTGAAGACAGGAGCCCCCAAAGACCGCCCCAAGACGGCCCAAGAGGCTCCCAAGAGGCCCCCAAAACGGCCCAAGAGGGCCCCCAGACGGCCCAAGAGGCGCCCAAGACGGCCCAAGAGGGCCCCAAGACGGCCCCAAGAGGGGGACCACGAACCGAAACGTCTAGCCTTTCGCCCCAAGACGCTCCCAGGAGGCCCCAAGAGCCCCCCGAGAAGCCCCAAGGGGCCCCAAGAGGCGTCCCAAGAGGCCACCAGGAGGCCAAAATTATACCCTTTCCTATCGGAAACGTACATTTTTAGCATGCATGGCTTTTCGGCTTTCACGGCGTTGAGGACAGTCCAAGAGTCCCCAAAGACCGCCCCAAGACGGCCCAAGAGGCTCCCAAGAGGCCCCCCAAACGGCCCAAGAGGGCCCCCAGACGGCCCCAGAGGCGCCCAAGACGGCCCAAGAGGGCCTCAAGACGGCCCCAAGAGGGGGACCACGAACCGAAACGTCTAGCTTTTGGCCCCAAGACGCTCCCACACATCGCCGGTGGACCTCCGTGGGGCCCACGACAGTGGCGCCAGTTTTGCAACGGGCAGTCCCCAGGGGGCGGCAAGGTGAACGTTGGGTCCGCTTAAGACATCGTTCCGCTGGACTTCCCAGGAGCCCAGGACAGTGACGAGAGTTCTTTTCGCATCTCGCAGCCTTCATGGGGCGGCGAGGTTTCAGATGGATCTGCGTAAGACACCGTTCTGGTGGACCTCGCAGCAGCCCGCGAAGATGGCGACAATTTCGAAGCCCGCTGCTTCGAGGAGACGGCGAGGTCTCATCTGGGTCCGCGTGAAACGCCACAATTGGCGACAGTTGCGCAGCTCTCAGCCCCAGGGGGTGGCGAAGTCGAACCTGGGCTCGCGCAAGACACCACGCCGCTGGACCCCCAGGAGTCCACGAACGTGGCGACACATTCCCGGCTGGCAGCCCCATATGACAGCGAGGTGTCAGACGGGCGACGCAACAAAACGGGGTCGTCTGCGAAGACATTGGCGCGTAAGCTGCTCGCGCAAGCTCGTGCGGAAGCGCCCTGGCCTCCAATGTGGCGTGCCGCGCCGGCGGCCCGCGTGAGTTGCGGCGTAGGGTCGCCATGCCATCTCGCGTGAGACCTGCTTCTAATCCTCGCTCATACACGTCCGCGTAAAACACCATTCCGATGTGCCTCCAGGGAGCTCACGAACTGAGCGGCAGCTGCACAGCTCGCGGCCCCCCCGTGGACCGTGATGTCGGATCAGAGTCCGCGCAAGACCACTCCGCTGGAGCTTCCACGGGCCCACGGAAAACGGCGACCGTCTCGCAGTCCGCAGTGCCCTGGAGACGGCGAGGTCTCAATCTTGGTCCGCGTAAGATGCCGTGCGCTGGACCTCCCCAGGAGTCCACGAAGCTGGCGACAGTCGCGCAGCTCGCAGCCCCGAAGTGACGGCGAGGTCGACTTGATTTCCGCGTAACATACCGCCTCGTTTGACCTCCCACAAGTCCACATCTCAGCGACAGTCGCGCAGCTCGCAGCCCCCAAAATGGGCGCGAGGCCGAAATCTTGGTCTGCGTAAGACGCCATCGCCCACGAACGTGGCGAGTGTTTTGCCGCTCGCAGCACCCGGGGTCGGCGAGGTCCACCCCGCTGGACCTCCAAGGAAGTCACGACAGTCTCGCAGTTCGCAGCCCGCAGGGGACGACAAAGTGTCATCGGGGTCCGCGTAAGACGCCATTCCGCTGCACCTCCCAAAGGTCAGGAACCTGGCGCCAGTTTAGCAGCTCGCAGCCTCCAGGCGACGGCGAGTTCGAATCTGGGTCCCCGTGAGACACCACTCCGCTGGAACTCCCACTAGCCCACGAACATGGCGCCACTTGCGCAGCTCGCAGCCCCCAGGAGACGTCGAGGTTGCATATGGGTCTGCGTAAGACACCACCCCGCCGAACCTCCCCGGAGTTCACGAACATGGCGACAGTTGCGCAGTTTCCACCCCCCAGGGGACGGCATGAGATCAGTCAATCGACTCACGCCTTCACCTCCCAACCCCCTGGTCGGGAGGGGGCGAACATTCGCGGCGAACCGTTCAACCCGGGACCCTTGGCGGCGCATGGATTTCTGTCTTTCTTCCCCGCGCGCCTTGCCATTGGAACCTCTGAACCCCTCCGTAGTTTCTTTTGGATTCCCATGTTCCAATCTATTTCAAGCGCCTTCCCACTTCCGTCTTCCTCGGTAGTCTTTGAGTACAAGTGGTATTATCATGTAGTGACGCGCAGTTGTCCCTAGAGTGCATCTGGTCCTGCAGTGCAAGTGTTAGAGTGCAGTTGGCACACTATTCCAACTGGTAATACATTGCGCGCCCTAGTACAACTCCGTAGTGCAAGTCTCTAGTGAAGTACAACTCCTTGATACAAATCCCTCCTACATTTAACTCCCTGGTACAACCTCCTAGCACACGTACTTTTAGTACAACTCTTTAGCATAATTCCTCAGTTCAACTCCTTCGTACAATTCTCCACTACTATTACAATTCCCCGGTGCAATTCCCCAACACAACTCCCTAGTACAACTCCCTGGTAACACTCCCTAGTACTAGGACAGCTCCCTTGCACAACTCCTTAGTACAAGTCACTAGTACTAGTAGAACTCCTGAGTGCAATCCCATAATACAATCCCCAGTACAACTCCCACGTGCACGTAGTACTGGTACGCATCAGCACAATTCCCCAGCACATACTCCGAATAGAGGTCCTTTGTACAACTTCTTAGTACTAGTACAACTCCATAGTGCAACTCCCTGGTACAACTCCACAGTACAAGGTCAATTCCCTAGTACAACTCCCTAGAACAAGTTTTAGTGCTGGCACACATCCTTTGTACCACTCCCGAGTCGAACTCCTTAGCACAAGTCCCTAATACAGTTCCATAGTACTAGTTCAACTCCCTACTACAACTCCCTAGTACAACCCCTTCGTAGTACCAGTACAGCTTTCTAGTTCAACTCCCTAGTACATCTCCCTAGTATTGGTACAACTCCCTAGTACAACTCCCTAGTGCTAGTACAACTCCCTAGTGCTAGTCCAACTTCCTAGTGCTAGTACGACTCCCTGGTGCACATCCCTAGTACAACTCCCCAGTGCACGCCTCTAGCACAAATAGTACAAGTACAACTCATGAGTACAAGTACCTAGTACAGCTCCCGAGTACAACTCCTCCTTAGTAGTAGCCCAAGTCCCAAGTACAGCTCCCTAGTACGACTCCCAAGGGTAACCTCGTACAACGAATACCAGTCACTAGTACACGCCCCCAGTACAGGTCCGTAGTACAAGTTCCTTGTACAATTCCCAAGTGCTAGTACAACCCCCTAGTACAACTCCCTAGTACAACTCCCTAGTACCCCTGAACCCCTGCATCGGTGAACCCCATCCGAATATGGTACATGTAGTATTTGAGTACAATTGGTATTACCATATTTTAGCGTTCAGTTGCTTCTAGAGCGCGTTGTGTCCTGCAGAACAGCTCGTATTAGAGGGCAACTGTTATCATAGTACCATTCGCTGTGCAGTTCACCCAGTATCAGGGAGCATACCATACCATAGTTAGTATAAGGTTGTGTCGCAGTCCTACAAGCATCATGGTATAGTGAGTATTAGAGTGCAGCGATAGAGATGCTGGGGACAAGTCTTCCAGATTCAGGTCGTCGTTCGCCGCGGCCATCGATTTACCTGGGGGCGCGCTTTTCCACGGACGCAACCAGGCAGGGCGCGTGCTTTCCGTCGCCTGTCGTCGCTCGGGCCAGGGGGTATCCAATAATGCCCCCATTAGGATCTCAACACGATCCCATTGGAACTCCGCTCGGATGGAAATCTGGACCCATTATCATTCCAAAACGCAGCATCAGCATCACAAGTGAATGAATTTGTTATCCTCATGGGACCCCCACTGGACCCCCATCATAATTCTGTAAGGTTTTTTTTTCTGCGCTACGAATATATCTCCAATCGGTTTCCAGTTCGGCGGAGATGAATTCAACCGGCTTCCAAGAGGATGACACAGGTATTTCAACTACGGCTACGACCACTACTAACACTGCTAATGATTCCCCCCTGCCGTGACGACAACTGCTACGATGGCTACTTGTACTATTGCGACTATTGCTATTAGTACTAACTGTCCCATAGCAACTACTACTGCTGCTACTACTGCGACTACTACTACTACGACGACCACGACCACGACTACTACTACTACTACTACTTCTACTACTACTACCACTACTACTACTACTACCACCACTACTACTACTACTACTACTACTACTACTACTACTTCTACTACCACTACTACTACTACCACTACCACT